TTTGATGGTTGGTCTAGCGGTAATGTGAAATCGCCCGTTTAATAGACGAGTTTAAAAATCTTCAAAAATGATTTCTCAAATAAATTTTTTTGAATAGTTTGTTTGGTGTGGTAGCTGTGTGATTCTTTTGGCAGGAGGCCATGATTTTAAATCAGTGTGACATGGTGTTTGTAATTTTTAAATAATAAAAATAGTTTTTAAAAGCTACGATATTCAATAAAAGAAATAGCATGGAAAATATTATTTTTAAAATATGTTTAAACATTTTTAAATAATATTTTAAAAATAAGGTTAAAGGGATAATTTGGTCGCTTTACTTTTAATACTTTTAATTTTTGTTCATGTACTTTCAAAATGTTTATTTTGGTACATGTACTCTCAAAATACTTATTTTAGTCCATGTATTTTTTAAAAATTAGATATTTTGGTATTTTAATTTTATTTTTATTCTGATTTTTTTCTATCGCAATTTCAACAATATACTATATTCAATATATTTTTTAAAATATAATTATAACTTTATATTAAATGAGAAAATTGTGTGTTAAAATTTTTAAAATATGAATGATCACTTATTAAAATGAAATGAAACATTTTCAGAGTTTAATTTTTAAAATATATACATGTATATAGGCCTTATTTATTTATTTATTTTTGGAATAACGACAAAGGAGGTTGCAAGTTTGCAACATACGGAAATCATGCAGGGCCGAACTTCGCTTAAAGCTTGTCTGTGAGTCCCGAGTCTAAACTGGACGTACCATTATCCAAATGCCCAAGCAATGGCTTTAATTGTTGATGCTTAATTCATCTGTCACACTCAAATTATTCGCCTCATTTGAATCTTCTTCTCCAAAAGCAGACTAAAATTCTTTTCCCTTTCTCCAAAACCTCTCAATGGATCAAATTCAGCACGTATTCGTCCAAGTTCAAGGAGCTCTGCAGATCCATGTGGCACAGATCGGAACCGGTGCCCATTTTCTCCGCCGGAACTTCCCTTTCCTTGCTCCGATTTCCCTGCTAACAAATTCTTTCGTTTTCCGATCTTTCAGGCTCCAACGTCGTCCTTTTTCTGCACGGTTTTCCCGAGATTTGGTACTCCTGGCGGCACCAGATGATCGCTCTCGCCAACGCCGGATTCCGAGCAATCGCTCCCGATTACAGAGGCTATGGACTCTCCGATGCTCCCGCCGAGCCCTCCAAGGCTACATACGCCGACCTCATCGGCGACCTCCTTCAAATTCTCGACACTCTCCACATCCCCAAGGTACTGTTCTAGAAAGTGAACTGCTGAATTAGTTTATTAATTAATAGATAAAAGTGTTCATTAAAAACGATTTTTCTTCTAGCTTTTCACACTGATTAGTTGGAGCGGACCTGTTCAAATTTTTTAACCACTACAATAAATTAGGGTTTCAATTTTTCTCCCCCCTTTCTTTTTTAGCATCTTGATTTTATTATTTAATAACAACATTTCTAATGTTATATTTTAAAAATGTAATAGACGGAAAAGATTTCTCAATCTGTGTATCTGTTCCTTCTGAAGAAAGATTTTTGCAGAGGAAACTCAAACTGATAGCAATTCATTTATTTATTATTCATTGGGAGATATCAGTTTTAAGAAATCTTCTAACATTTTATAATCCGTATAGGTATTTCTTGTTGGGAAAGATTTTGGAGCAATGCCAGCTTATTACTTTGCCCTGAAACACCCAGAAAGGGCATTGGGAGTTGTCACATTGGGAGTGCCATTCATGCCTCCTGAGCCTATTAAGTTCCAAAGCCACCTCCCTGAAGGCTTCTATATTTCAAGATGGCAGGTACAATTCTCTTCTTTTCAAAAGAAAACTTAACAACTCAAATGATCCAATTATAATTATTTTGGACTCTAGGCAAGTATAAATTGTATCTTTGTAGGAACAATTTGTTTCAAGTTTATATTAGATTTGCAAATGAACCAGCACTACATTAGTTATGTATGTTGGTTTGCTTGAGAATCGACTCGTTGGATAGAAATCTCCATCTCAATAGTTGTTGAACGATTTGTTTCAAGTTTATTCTTCAATCGTTGTTTTGTTTGTTCCTTTTTCCTCCTCTTTTTCTTGTTCTTCGCTTATTTCTGTTTACCCCCCTCTTGTCTAGGAACCTGGACGAGCGGAGTCTGATTTTGGTCGTTTTGATGCAAAAACTGTTGTCAGAAATATTTACATCCTCTTCTCCAGAAGTGAGGTTCCAATAGCTGAAGAAAACCAAGAGATAATGGACTTAGTAGACTCATCCACCCCTTTGCCCCCTTGGTTCACTGAGGAAGATCTAGCAGCTTATGGTGATCTCTATAAGAAATCTGGATTTGACACTGCATTAAAAGTTCCTTACAGGTTATGCCCTTTAATCTTGATAGTTCTTTGATGTCATTCAAATATGGTCATCTTCAATGTCCTTGTTTTGCATCGCTTGCTCAATTTTTCTTGTTTACTTTTTCTTCACGATCTCGTTTTCAATTTAGCAAACGTAGCACAATTTAATAGCTATGTCACATTTGACATATGATGGAGTAACATTCATGATAGGTCATTGGGTGAAGATTGGGGAATAAAAGATCCAAAAGTTGAAATTCCAGCACTTCTTATAATGGGTGAAAAAGATTATGTTCTCAAATTCCCAGGAATTGAGGAATATGTACGAAGTGAAAAGGTGAAAGATTATGTGCCCAAATTAGAGATCATCTATTTAGCAGAAGGATCCCATTTTGTTCAAGAGCAATCCCCGGAAGAAATTAATCAGCTACTACTCAATTTCCTCTCCAAGCATACATGATTCTCTAGATGTATTCAACACTGAGGTTAAATCAGTTCTCCCATAAAGACTTTAGATTATCCATATGACTGTTTTTGTGTCGGCTACTTCTGTTGTCTTTTTAAGTCAAAAAGTAACTACAATATGTATGTTATAATTATTCAATAAATATAGACATGGTATCTGTGTAGGCAAATACTACCTTACCCCTCAAATCTTGTATTTATTATTTAGTTTAAAAATTACAGGGACCAAATTTCACATTTAAAAAATATACTGATCAAAACACTACAAAGATCCAAATGAACCAAAAACTAAAATAAAAAGACTAAAATAATATTCGAAGTTTATTCTTTTTACTAGTAATAACTATAAATTATTTTTAGAAGACAAAATTTGTTAGCAATTGATTCAAACATAGGTAGTTAAGGCTTCTTAATAATTCATGCTATTAGTGATAAAAATTCAAAATTGATAAAAATATTACCAAGTTCATACCCGTTTTTATTTATGTATTCATGGATTCGACGTCAACCTGAGCGTTAAATCAACATTTCCATAATATTACCAAAAATTCAACAAAATATGAAAAATATCATCAAATTCTCATATATCTTATTTCTAGAATCATGTTTACTTACCAACAATTGGGACGGGAATGAAGTTGTTTGCTAGAAATTTTTATGGAATCGGAATCATAATTCTTTTGATGTTGTTTACTAAAACTTTCTAGAATCGGAATCGTAATTAGATATATAACAATTACTAGCATATCCACTTCTTATTTCTAGTTAATTACAAAACTATTATTTTTTTTGAAATAGGCTAATTACAAAACTATTATTGTGCTGATTTATTTAATTAAAATAATAATAAGTTTTAATTTATTTTGTTACTATATTATTGATAGTAAATACTTTTTATTATAACAATTTATTTAATATTAATAAATATTATTTGAAATAAAATTACAGAAAATAAAACACTTATTTTTATTAGAACAACCCTCATTTAATATAGAATATTATCCATTTTTCTTATTATAATATTTAATAATGATAAATTTTACTTTATAAATTATATTAATTATAATAATAAAATAAAAATAAAAAATTTATAATATTTATAATATTTATAAAAGCACATCGACCAATAAAAGTTGTATATGTTTTTATTAAAAAATTATTAGTAATATAAATGAAAAGGAAATAATAAAATAATTAATAATTAATAATTAATAATACTCCTCAAAAGACTAAAAGGATAATATTAATTATAGAACACCAATAATTGATATGTTTGGTTGTTAGAAAGCTAGGAAATCGCTATGATAGAAAAGAGAGCAATTTATACATTAATTAACTTGAGATGATTGATTGTTTGGTCAACTAGTACGTTTTTAAATAGTAAAATGGGCTTTAATTTTTAATTTAATCTTAAATCTTTTAAAATTCTCAATATATAAAAGATTATGTCATTTCATGGAATGGTTAAAAAGTTTGATTTATTATTAAATTATGTTTATTAACCTATACGTGAAGACCAACCTTATTCACCGATAAATTCAATCTACTCATCATCAAAATTCATTTATTGTAAATAGTACGTTTATATTTAAACGAAACAATAATTTAATAATACATCAATTTTATATTAACGAATTTAGAAAAGTTTTCTCATTTTTGATCTTTTAAAAAATTGTCAACTTGAGGCATATAATCTCAACCACTTGGATTCGAATACCTCACCAATGTCGTTTTCTTTATAGATAAATTAAGCGTTATTCAAAATTTGATAATTTAATTTCACGGAAAAGGAGAAAGAAAAAACGTGTTATGTTATGATTATAAAACAGCAAAAATGAATAATTTCCTCTCGAACGCAGAGTTGAAACTTGAAACTGATCTCACCACTCACTCACTTCTTTCCGTTCCTGAAGAAGAAGAAGCTCCCATTCCGTTCCCAATGGATAAAATACAGCACCATTTCATGGAAGTTCGAGGACTGAAGCACCACGTAGCCGAGATCGGAACCGGTAATCGGTCATCTCATCGCCGTTTCCTCGCCGGAACTTGCTAATTTCTAACAATGATCTTCCGTTTTCCGATGTTTCGTTACTCAGGTCCCAATGTGGTGGTGTTCCTGCACGGTTTTCCGGAGATCTGGTACTCGTGGCGGCACCAGATGATCGGTCTCGCCAATGCCGGATTCCGAACAATCGCTCCCGATTACAGAGGATATGGACTCTCCGATTCGCCGCCGGAACCCTCGAAGGCCACATACGGCGACATCATCAGCGATCTCCTTGGAATTCTCGACGCTCTCCACATCCCTAAGGTAACTGTTCTTAATTCTATTCTCCCTCTGCTCTGCTTTAATTTGGTTGCACATAATTCAGATCAGATTCATGAAAAATCAGCATTGCTCAGTTAAACTGACTACCAGGTGTTTGTAAAAATGAACTACTGAGGTTTTTTTTTTTTTTTTTTTTGAATCAAATGAACTGCTGAGTTGAGTTCATTAATAATTAATTGAAAGAGGAATTAAAGGTCGAGTTGATCGACTCGTTGCTGATTAGTACTACGAGTGAGTTTGATGGGTTTAAATTAGGGGTAAAGAATCCAAGGATCCGAAAAATCGACTGATCGAATTAAATTCCAAGTTGAAATAATCTTATAAATATTACTCTAAAATATTATTAATTTATTTACTCACATGTTATAAATTTTGTATAATTATTATTTTAAAATATTATATAATTTATAATATATGACATTTTATATTTTAATTTGAAGAAATGGGTTTATAATTATAAAATTGTATATTTATCAAAAGTCTTTTTTAAATGTAATTCTGCATTTGAAATTTGAAAACGTTAAAAAACATAAAAAGTTTTTAAGTTTTTAAAAAAATTTGAAATTTAAAAACAGTTGAGAATTTCCATTATTGAAGAATTCAAAACCTGTGTCAAATGATTGATTAAGTGAATAACTGAATATGAAAACAAAGAAACATAATTCATAATTTCATATGCCTAAACATGCTTTAAGCCATCCCAAATACTTGTGTAACAATTGAAAATGTACATGAGAAAAAAAAGTACTTAGCTTGGTCTGATTTTTTAAAATATTTTATTACAAAAGTAATAATAATAATAATTTAAAAGACTTACGTGTAAAGTTCATGAACAAACAAATATCATAAACTTTAGAATCAAAATAGAATTAGTAAGAAAATTTAGAGACAAAAATAGGATTCAAAACAAATTTATATTTCAATAGAGATTGAGGATATGATAATTTAAGTTCTACTTGCATATATTGGCCAAGCCACCATAAAAAATAAAATTAAATTAAAATTAAAAAATTAAAAATTAAAAAAATTAAAATTAAAATTCATTTTTGTTCATTCCAATTTCATCATAGCATAGCATGCATAACCATTTTTTAATGTGTGCAAAATATATAACAAAATCTTGAACACTATTGGGTGCAGGTATTTCTGGTTGGGAAAGATTTAGGAACATGGCCAGCTTATTACTTTGCTCTGAAACATCCTGAGAGGGCACTGGGAGTTGTCACATTGGGAGTGCCATTCCTGCCCCCTGAGCTTACTATTAAGTTCCAAGACCTCCCTGAAGGCATCTATGTTTCAAGATGGCTGGTATACAATCATCATCTTTAATGCTCAAAGTCTTATATTTTTCCCAATGACCATCATTTCAATGGATCCTTAGATAAATAATAGAAATATGTTAGCAAGATTTATCACGTTGGCCAGTTGGGTTCAAATTGTTAAGGAACCTACATTGAAAAGAAAATGGACCTTACATAAATTTATAATAGACATGAGCTACTCCTCCATCGCTAATTGATTTTGAGATGGAACTCCATGAATATTAATATGGTATCAGAGTCCAACAAGTTCAAACGAACTGTTTTCATTCGTTTTCTTGTCTCTCATGTTTAGAAACCTGGGCGAGCCGAGGCTGATTTTGGTCGTTTGGATGCAAAGACCGTCTTCAGGAATGTCTATGTCCTCTTCTCCAGAAGCGAAATTCCAACCGCTAAAGAAAATCAAGAGATAATGGATTTAGTGGACGCATCCACCCCTCTTCCCCCATGGTTTACAGAGGAAGATCTAGCAGTTTATGGAACTCTCTATGAGAAATCTGGATTTGAAACAGCATTAAAAGTTCCTTACAGGTAATGCACTTGAATCCTAACCTGTTTTCTCAACAAGGCAGTTCCCTTTCATGTCATTCAATCACATGAACTGTAAAAATCAAATTTCAACTGTAGACATAGATATCAACGATTGATTGTATGCGTTCTCTTCTTTCTTTCTTGAAATGGAAAGTTGGAAAATGAACCGGAGCAATTAATTTTAACTTTAGTGAATCTAATTTTACTTAGGTAATTTGATCACATTTGATACACATGATAGGTCGTTCGATGAAGACTTTGGAATAAAAGATCCAAAAGTTGAAGTTCCAGCTCTCCTAATAATGGGTGAAAAGGATTATGTTCTGAAATTCCCAGGAATGGATGAATACATACAAAGTGGAATGGTAAAAGATTATGTTCCCAAGTTGGAGATCATCTATGTACCAGAAGGATCTCATTTTGTTCAAGAGCAATTCCCTGAAGAAGTTAACAGTTTGCTACTCAATTTCCTTGCCAAACACACTTGACTTTACAAGAGATCTTGATGTATTGTGTACTTTTTGTTGTTCTTAAATTCCAATAATGGCTACAATATGTATTTTCATAAAATCTACTTACAATATGTAATGCTACAATATTTATGTGTGCAAATCCATGGATGTCTATTACTTAGAAACATGGGAGGCGTTTGTTTCGAGAATTGGTCCAACTTTATGCAGGCTGTAAATAGATTTCTATTTTGGTTCCAAAACTTTTAAATATGTTTGTTTTATTCTCTTAAATTTTACATACGAAAATACTACCTTTAACTTTAATATTTCATTAACTTTTTAACAAAAATTCTGCATCCCATGATTAGGCCCGTTTGATAACCATTTTGTTTTTGGTTTCTATTTTTTAGTTTTTAAAATGCACGTGGTTTGATAATCAATTCAATTTTCTCTTAGAATTCAGGTAAATTTCAAAACAAAAAAAAAAAAAAGTGATTTTCAAAAATAGGCTTTTGTTTTCCAAAATATGATTTTTTCTTCTATACTCAACTTTTTTTTCTTTCACATATATCTCTAAAAAAAAATTCTCACTCTGAAATTTTTTTATTTCTAAAATTTCTCACTACAAACTTTATTTTTCTCTCTTTAAAATTTTCATATTTTAAATAATTATTATTATTCGTCTCTCAAAATTTTTATATATTTTTGTTTTTTTCTGACATATCAGTTTTATTTCTCTCTCTAAAAATTTAATATTTTTCCTAATTTTTTTCTCTTTAAAATTTCATCTTTTATAACTTTTCATTCTCTTCGTAATTTATTTTTTCCTTTGGAAATTAGATTTTATTTTCTCGTTCAATTTTCTTTCACTGTAACTTTTATTTATCTTTGTATTTATTCATTTTCTCTAAAAATTATATTTTGAATCTTGTTTTTATCTTTAAATTTGTTTCCATAATAATTTTTCTCTTTCTTTAATAATTTTTTCTTCTTTTAACATATCTTTTCCTCTCGATTTTATTCTTTTTCTGTTTTTGTCTTTAACTTTTCTTTCATTATTTTTTTTTCTAAATCTTTATATTGGGGAAAACAAAAATTTCAGCAGGTCGGGTCTCAAAAATATGAAATGCATGTCCCGACCTCATCCCCATCCTCGATTCCATTTTTTAAATAATTAATACATATTCATTACTTTTTTTATACTTAAATTCTAAAAATAATTAAAAACAGTTATAAAACCGATAATTTTTCTCGAGAACATCTCTCGGATCCAAAAACGAGGTGGAGATGGAGACTAAAAATTTTCACGAGCACGAGAATGGGGGAGAACATCCTCACTCGCATCCACAGCATTGTCATCTCTACTCTACATAAAATTTTCTCTATCTAGTATCTATTTTTAGTTTTCTAACTTTTTAAAAACAAAAAACTAAAAATGGATCAAATATGTTTTGGTTTTCTGTTTTGTAAAACAAAAAAGAAAAAATAGTTATATGATTTTTATTTTATAAAAACAGAAAACCAAAAACTAAAAACAAAAAAAAATCAAAAATTAAAAACTAAAATGGTTATCAAACGAATCTGACTCACAATGTTATGGCATCAAAATTATTTATAAAAACAAAATGTTAGTGTAAATAGAGTTAATATAATACTCCTTTTGAAAATTTTCTCTAAATATGAAAGTCATCCACTTGGAGATAGTTTTTTTCTTCTTTTTTCTCTCTCTTTAATTTTCTGTAACAACGACAAATAAGTTGCTGGCACTTGGCAGAGGCAACATGGTCTCTGTCTTTTTTTTTCTCTCTCTTTAAACTAAACATAGTCCATTTTGGAATTTCTAACTTTTTGTATATTTTGTAATTTTGTATTTGAAAAAGGAAACTAATATTGTCTCTAACTCATTTTTAGAACGTAAAACTTGTAACGTGACCGACCTTAATGGTTAAATTTCTGCTTTTTGGTTATATTTGTGGATAGATTACTTTCTTATGAAAAATTTAATACTAACAAGTAATTAATAAATGGAAATTAATATAGCTAAAAAAGTTATTCAATTTAGGTGAGCTTCTTGTTAAAACTAAAACTTTCATCGAAATGGTATTATAATTTCGCTAAAGGACACATATTTAATTACTATTAAATAAAATTTAGGCTAAATATATATTTTACTTCACATTGTGGGTATTTTCTTAATCTAATTTTATTTCTTAATATATATGATAGATATACATATTTGAGAGAATGAATTAAGTCACTAAAAGAAAAGAATCTTTTTATTTCTGATTTTAAATTTTCAAGAAGTTGACAAAAATATCAATTTTTGTTGTTTTCCGTTAAACCAATACATTGATGACTTAAACATCAACATTTAATTGAGAATTGAGATGATAATAGATGTCCTTATTCATTGAGTTATGTTTGAATTGGTCAATTTTTTTTGTTTGAGGGGTCTATTCCTATTATTATATTTTTTGGGTTCTGAGAAAGGAATTTAAATTTCTAAAAACTTTATGACCTAAGATGTGTGCTTTAGTTTGTCCAGCTATGCACAGGCTAACTCCATTCTAATTTTATTTTATCAACTTATATATAGTAAAATTATCATTAGCCAATATTAATATAAAATACTCTGTTGAAATATTTTAAAGAATAAAAATTTAAAAAAAAAATGAAAAAGACGAGATTAGGGAGTAAAACATATATTATTAGCCCTGAAATTTTAACAAACTACGTAGCAGTCGTGTGTGTTTGTGAAGAAGGTCGGAATGGATGAAATTGAGCACAATTTCATCGAAGTTGGAGGAGTGAAGCTCCACGTAGCCGAGATCGGAACCAGTAACCAGTCATTTTTATTTTTTTTTCCGGCCGGAAATTCGGCCTAACGCGGCTAACGTATTATTTTTCCGATGTGTTTCAGGCCCCAGTGTGGTGGTTTTTCTGCACGGTTTTCCGGACATTTGGTACTCATGGCGGCACCAGATGATGGCTCTGGCCAACGCCGGATTCCGAACAATCGCTCCCGATTTCAGAGGATATGGACTCTCCGATTCGCCGCCGCTCCACTCCAAGGTTGGATTCCGCGATCTCATCGCCGATCTCCAACGAATTCTCGACGCTCTCAACATTCCTAAGGTACTATTCTCCCGCCTCAACCGCTGACTGCCTTTTTTTTATTTGGTCTTGGAACCTCTGGATTGGTAGGAATTTGAAATCCCTTTGGATCAAATATAAAATTTTGAATTTTAACTCATATCTGATTTAAATCCTATTTTTCCACATCTCAAATAGCTTGTATTCACTGGTATTTTACTTTTAAAATTATCTCATACCAACAATTTAATCTGCGTAGAAAAATCAGAAACATCTTCGCCAATCAACCATTTTTAAATATTTGAAATGCTTCACTCACAAAATTATATCTCCTTCGTCTTTGTTTTCTATTAAATTTTTTAAATTTAAATATAAGTCAGATTTAATAAGTAATTTTGTTTTTAAATTTGTAACTATTCAACTTTAATATTTCTTATTTGAATGGGGATATTTACGATATATATGTGTGTATATTTTCTTTTTGCCAATAAATATGAAATTTCAAGTTTTTATTTATTTAATTTGATAAAAGTACTTGCTTTCTTTTCTTTTCTTTTTCTTTGAAATAGTATTTGCTTTATTATATAGTTTTTTCTAATTTTGAATACGTGGATTCGAACTTATGACCTCTTGGTAAAATACATACGCCAATTATCGTTGAGCTAAGTTCATATTGGCTTGAATTTCACTCTTACTTGTGTTGTACTAATAAAAAAAATTATTATTATTATTATATCTTGTAAAATTATAAGGACATAACTGTAAAATATATCTTTTTCCATTTCTCATGAACGTTCAATAATTTCAAATCAATTCATTTCAAATACAATTAGTAATTTAAAATCATCTCTGTCTTTTAAAAATCTATCCATTTCTTTCCAATCATTATGATGGGGATCTCCTGAAAAGTGAAAAACAAACTAGGAGATCAAAGTTGAGAACAGGGGTTTTTTCTTTTCCTTTAGAAATAAACAGGGTTTAAAATTGAGCCATTTAACTAGGACTGTTTTTTAATATTACATTACCATTGATATACATCACAAACTGCCCTTGTTTGCAGAATAAGAAATGTTCAAAATTACTGTGTTTAGGTATTTCTTGTTGGCAAAGATTTTGGAGCACTGGTGGCTTTTTATTTTGCTGTGAAACACCCAGAGAGGGCACTGGGAATTGTGTCATTGGGAGTGCCATTCATGCCTCATCAACCTCACAACTCCCAACACCTCCCAGAAGGCTTCTATATTTCAAGATGGCAGGTTAAATAAATGTATTAGTAATTCCTAAATTTGATCTTCTGAAGCAACAAATTTGTTCCACTGGTTTGTTTTAATGGCGTCTTATTTAGGAACCTGGGAGAGCAGAGGCTGATTTTAGCCGTTTTGATGCAAAAACTGTTGTTAGAAATGTGTACATCCTCTTCTCCAGAAGCCAACTCCCAATAGCTCAACAAAATCAGGAGATAATGGACTTGGTGGATCCATCAACCCCTCTTCCCCCTTGGTTCAGTGAGGAAGATTTGGCAACTTATGGAGCTCTTTACCAGAAATCTGGATTCCATACTGCGTTGAAAGTTCCTTACAGGTGATACTCTTGATCCCGATTGAAGTAATGATTTAGTCTCTTAAGTTTAGTTTATAACGATCTAGTCTTTGTATTTTTCAAAGAAAAACACTGGGCTCTTTGACGGTAAGGAGCAACCTTGTTTTCACCAATGTTTGATAACTAAGAGTGAGAAATTAAAAAACATAAACTTTTTTAAAGAGTTGTCAAATTTTCAGTGGGCATTTTTCCTTTTTCAAATTAGTAACAATTTAGTCTCTAAACTTTAAATTTTCTTTATAAATTTTCTTATATATGTAGATCAATATATCGATGAGGGACCAAATATGTTTACAAATTATAGTGACTTAATGATTACATGACAAAAATAGATACTTAATTTTGATGAGATTTTTCATGATAAGGAGTAGATTGAAAACTAAAAATTGTTACGTTTCATGTTCCGTTTTGCTTCAAATATGGATCAAGGATATTCCTTTGACACATTTGATTTGGGGGTAATTGCCACCTTGAATACCATTATAGGTCATTAAGCGAAGACTTGGGAATAAAAGATGCAAAAGTTGAAGTTCCAACGCTTCTTATAGTGGGGGAAAAGAATTACTCTCTCAAATTCCCTAAAATTGATGAATACATTCGAAGTGGAAAAATGAAAGAGCATGTCCCTAAATTGGAGACCATTCATTTACCAGAGGGATCCCATTTTGTTCAAGAACAATGCCCTGAAGAAGTTAACCAGCTGCTACTCACTTTTCTCGCCAACAATAATTGACTGTGGATCTCAATTATTTGTTTGGAGAATTGGTCCTACTTTGTATGAGTTGAAAGTAAAGTTTTTTACTTTTGAGATAAATAAAAGAGTATGAATGTACTTGAATTATAATATTTTAAATATATTATAGTTTGTGGTAAATTTATGGTTTACACTCTCTCTGCAAGAAGCTTGTTTCCGATTCAATTCAAATATGCCTAAAGATGATGCACTTGCAGCTGCATTTTGGATGACCCTTTTTAATTTTAATGGTAAGAAAAGTTGCATTTTTTTTTTTTTTAGTGACAGTGGATTGGTCTTTTGGATCTATCATTCTAGATATTTTAACTTGGTTCTTTGATTTGCTTAGTCCCAGTACAGGAACTCCATAAAATACTGAAATAATTACAATAATAAAACGAGGAGGTCCCGATTTTTTGGCTGTGTAAAAGATTCGATTGAAGTCCAAAATCTGTTCTCCAAAGAATCTCTCGATGGAACAAATCCAGCACAAGTTCATCCAAGTTCGAGGACTGAAGCTCCACGTAGCCGAAATCGGAACCGGTGATCGATCATCTCATCGCTACCTTCCCCAAATTTCTTCGACGGAACTTGTCTTGCTCACAAAAACCTACTGCTCGTTTTCCGATTTTCCAGGTTCCAATGTGGTCGTCTTCCTGCACGGTTTTCCGGAGATTTGGTACTCATGGCGGTACCAGATGATCGCTCTCGCTAACGCCGGATTCCGAGCAATCGCTCCCGATTACAGAGGATATGGACTCTCCGATGCGCCGCCCGAGCCCTCCAAGGCTACGTTCAGCGACCTCATCAGCGACCTCGTTGGAATTCTCGACGCTCTCAACATCCCCAAGGTACTCTTCTAATAGTATTCTCCCCTATGCTGTACTTTACTTTAGTTGCAGAGGTAAGAAAACGATAGGGTTCCAAAAAATTAAACAAAGTTTCGCGAGATGTTTGTAAAACTGAACTGCTGAATTAACTAATTGATATAAAAGTGTTCGTTAATAATTAATAATTGATGGAAAGAGGAATCACTGTAGAAAGGCCAAGTGGGGCAACTCGTTCCCGATTGTAAATCATCCTCCTGAAAACAAAGTTATGTGAATTCCCCTTTTATCACCATTTTGAACTGAGATGCAATTATGATTTTACGCTAATGTCATTCCAGTTTTTGATATTTATGTTTGATCAGAACATGGCCTGTTCGTAGGCTATGATTGCAAAATAAGAAATCTTCTAACATTACTCTGTTTAGGTGTTTGTTATTGGGAAGGATTTTGGAGCATGGCCAGCATACTACTTTGCTCTGAAACATCCTGATAGGGCATTGGGAGTTGTCACATTGGGAGTGCCATTCCTGCCTCCTGAATCTGTTAATAACAGTCTTAAGCCCCAACACCATATCCCTGAAGGCGTCTATACTTTAAGATGGCGGGTGAGTATGCCCATTCTCTACCATTTACCTTACACTTTCCCCTTCCAAAAGAAAACTGAGAACGGAGATTTCAATGCTCTGGCATGTATAAGTTTGATCATTGAAGGAACAATTATTTTCAAGTTTGTTATCAATTTTTTGTAAATGCACTTCTACAGTAACCGTTGATTTCATACTATTGATTCTGGATGGAGATCTCTATCTCAATAGTTATTGAGCAAACAATACTGTTCTTCAAAGGAAATGACTTTTTTTTTATAATGCTTTCTTTTCTTTCGTTTGCTTATTGGTTGTTTCTTTTATTAACTTGTTTGCTTCAAACTTTATCTCTTAACTAGGAACCTGGGCGAGCTGAGGCTGATTTTGGTCGTTTTGATGCAAAAACTGTTGTCAGAAATGTCTATATCCTCTTCTCCAAAAGCGAAATCCCAATAGCTCAAGAAAATCAAGAAGTAATGGACTTAGTGGACCCATCCACCCCTCTCCCTCCTTGGTTCACGGAGGAAGATCTAGCAACTTATGGAGCTCTCTATGAGAAATCTGGATTCGAAACAGCATTGAAAGTTCCTTATAGGTAATGAATGCACTTGAATTTTGATTATTGTTTTTCAACTGATACGAATGAGTTAGAATCCTATTGGCTATTTCAACATGACCCATGAAGTGAACCTTATTTTACTTAGGTAGTTATGTGTTGCATTTGATAAGATACATGAATGCATTTGATAGGTCATTCAATGAAGACTGGGGAATAAAAGATCCAAAAGTTGAAATTCCAGCACTTTTTATAATGGGTGAAAAGGACTATGTTTTCAAATTCCCTGAAATTGAGGAATACATAAGAAGTGAAAGGGTGAAAGATTATGTTCCCAAACTAGAGATCATCTATTTACCAGAAGGATCCCATTTTGTTCAAGAGCAATCCCCTGAAGAAGTTAATCAACTTCTACTTACTTTCCTTGCCAACCATACTTGATTGTACGATACTACATCAGTTAAATCTAAATAAACTTTTGACTGGTTCTCCAATGTACTGTTATTGTTCCTTTTTTTTCTTTTTAATTTGGAGTTCAACGAAACGGAAGGTTGGCTAATGGAAGATATATGCCTTAACTAATTGAGATATGTTTAGATTGATGTTATTAAATTAAATTAATGGGTATGATAACTGTAGGAGCAGGGGGGAAATACGACTAGTACGATCTTGACAAGTTTTCATTGAAGTCCTGCACCACAATTTTGGAAAAGAATGAAGCAATGAGAAGAGAAAAAAACTAATACTTCAAATCATAATTCATGTTGCACATCCTGCATAACGTTAGCAAAATGATTTCCCAATTTAAAAAATAATAAAATCATGGAATTAACTGGCTATCTGTTAGCAAAATGATTTCCCAAGTAAATACATGGAGAGTTGCATACTGTAATTAACTGGCTATGGCCTAAAGAGCAGCGAAGATGGTCTTTCCATAATCTATTTAACTTATGCACTGTAACAAGAAATTTCAAGCTTCAACATACATTAGATGCACTTCTTTAAGACCAAAAAACCACGATATCCATATGAAAGCAGTGAGTGTGAAACAGAAAACTAGAAGAGAACTGCTAAAATTTCCTATCTTAAAGAATTCAGAAAGTGCAAATACTAAGCTAAGGAAATCTGAGCGAACAGATAACTCACCAGGCGATATAGTCCACAACCTCTGCCATGACTGAATGGTGATAATGACAATGACTGATTCTTAGAACAAATAAAGTAAACTCTCATGCTTAAATCAAGAGTCGGACTAATTGTTTTCATTGGGCTTGAAACTTTTTACAAAATTTCAACAATTCAAGAATGCAAACTACATATACTTCGACCAAATCTAAATCAAGTAGACAGCAAGCAACATATACAAATCTAAATCAGCTAGACAATAAAACCTTCATTCTAAACCGATCCTCCCTCTAGATCATATCATCCAGTCCACAGAGAAACCATTAAAATAATATAAAAAAGTTGGATGGTTTTTAAAAAAATCATGAGGGCCCATGGTTTTTCTTAAAAACCACTTTGAAAAACGGGTATCTTCCCACTCTAACATAAAAGTCGGTCGGTCGGTCGATTTTTCCTTATTTGGAATCATCGACCGACCGACTGGTCAGTTTTGTAAAATCGACACCGATCGACCTGTAGTTGAAACCGATCGAACCAAGTCGGTTTTGGTCGGTTGGGGTGGTTTTTCGAGATATGATGCTCACCCCTAGTTGCGGGGGTCGAGGGACTGATTGAGGCACACACTTAGTTTTTCTAGGTTAAATCAAAACCAAACGAACCAAATCGAAAATTTTCGATTTGGTCGGTTTCGGTTCGGTTCGATCTGCTACAACCCTACTCACTTCCCACGACGGACCATCACACGGAGGAGCCTAGAAATATGTTGTTCTTCACCATAAGTGATTTTAAAGACAGACAATCAAATTAAATCCCTTTCTATTTACCTCAAAAGGACCATTCAACCAAACCTCCATCCTTGCCCAAAGAAATTGCAAATTCAATATTTTCTCAGTTTATAATGAAATTTTTTAGGTAATATTTTCTTTTGCGGAAAAGAGACAACTTTAGGTAGAACATACAAGTATTTGACTATATTTTAAATAATTATAGTAAATATTTGTAGTTATTTTTTAATAAACAGATATAGTTCCATATTGATTATAAGTAAATAAGGTTTTAGTTATATTAGTAAATAATTAGTATGCAACAATTTTAGATTAATCTAACAGTAAATTATTAAGATTTCGTAAATACACACTATTATATTATCGCATAAATAAGAAGGAGACACAGCATATAGTAGTTTAAATAAATTATTTAATCCAAATTCGAATAATAATGATTGTAGTTTTATAAAATATAAATAAAGAGGCATTAATTTTAAAATAATTATAAATTTTAGATAACTCATCTTTGATTTTTGTCCTGCTAATACAAAGTATCATATTTTTGTTGTTAACATTTTCGAAAGCACGTTATCTTTTACATTATGTTGAATGCATATTATTTTGTTTTTTAAATTGATTTAAAAAAGATTAATTTCGAAAATTTATAGTGATAATTTGCATGTAAAATATTTGTTGGAGGGTTTTTTTTTTTTTCATAGCGTTAGAGATAACTTTAGATATATTGCTTTTTTTTTAAATTAATAATTTGATTCTGAAGGTTTATGCGTAATTTGCCAATATATTTCTTAAAAAATTTAATCTTGCGTCATGATTTGGTTAGACTATTTTTCAACTAATCTTTGTTCTTATTTATTTAGTGAGCCCTAAATCTATAAATAGTCCATATAAACAAATAAAATACTAACCTATTGTTGTATAATAGAATAAGTTCAATATGCTAATATAACATGGAAACTTGTTAGGTTCGATCAAATATGTGAAGTAAAACAAAATTTTTAAAATTGTACGAACAAAATTGAAATTAAATCCAAAATATGTTAACCAAATTAAAACCTATAAATTTACAATGACTGGATTGAAATAATTAAGCTTAAATCGTACCAAATTGACAATACCACATAATTTTTTTTTAACTTATACAAAATATCTGGTATTCTATTTTTATCAATACTTAAAAATCGAATTTATTTCAAATAGCACATTACAAAATAATTAAAAAAACCAAAGTAAATGGGATGATTTGGGTTGAACTACAATGTATTTGCTGAGAAGGTATGAATTTATTATAGCTAAAGAAACCCTTAATAAAAATAACACCCCGGGTCAGCTACGCCCCGGGTCAGCTAATTTATTACCGTAGTTGCCCCGTAAATGTGAAGAAACTAAAGCCTCACGTAATTATAGTTAACTGTAGAAAATAGAATTTTTAGGGAGGAAAAGAAACGTTTTTTATAAACAAATATAAATACGGATGCAGAGTAAGCATTTTAATTAGGTGTATTGCAGTATTAAATTAATAATTTATTTGAACAGTCTAATCTGCGGGAAGTCCGAGTGTGAAATTTTGACCTTTCGCTTTCTGGATCTAGGGTTTCATGTCATTGACGACTCCTTCGTTATCCCCAAAATACGAGCCCTAGCATTGCCACCACCCAGATGAAAAAAGTGTTTCCCCAAACCAGAAACCAGAGATCGAGTTGATTTTGAGTTTTTTTTTTAATTCTTTTTTCCCTTTTTTTTTTTGGTTGTTTGTTTGGTTCATCATCAATCAGGATTGTAAATTTTCCCACCATGGAAAAAAGAAGAACCCGAATCTTGGTTTGTTCTGTTGTTTCTTGACGGATCGGTGTTTTAAATTGGCAAAAAACTGGATCAAATCTAAAGCATTCTGGACGATCATGATCTTTTTAAAATTTCTTATTGCCTGGAAAGGAATTCATTGAAACCCATGGGATTATATAGAAACTTGACGAAATTTCCAGAGCCAAAAAGCCAAACAGTGACATATTGAGGAAGGAGATGGAGGGAAAAATGTATAAATCGGTGGTTTATCGAGGGGATGAGGTATTGGGAGAGGTAGAAATTTACCCAGAAGAAAAGAACGGCAACAAGAACATCGAAGTGAAGGAAATCAGAATAACTCACTTCTCGCAACCGAGTGAGAGGTGCCCACCACTTGCAGTGCTTCATACCATTGCGGCCTCTGGAATTTGCTTCAAAATGGAGTCAAAGACCTCGCAGTCACAGGACACGCCGCTCTATCTTTTGCATTCCTCGTGTGTCATGGAGAATAAGGTATAAAAACACAACTCAAAAATAACAAAGGACACCAAAAGACAAAGTAAGGTAAAAGATTGAAACTTCTTAGGAAAGGGAAAATCTGTATTCTAAAGCAAACTTTGTTCATCTTACAAGGACCAGAAACATTCCAATCATGTTGAGAAAAATGTCACCTTAATTGACAATAATGCTGCAATTTTTGCCTCACATTTTGTGAAATTTGTATGATCTCTGCAACTTATCCCCGATTGCCCTTCTAACATGTCTTCGTTAGTCCTATGCAAGAAAATGGGCATGCTTTTGATGGCAAAATCTCATTCGCAGATTGTAGGTTCATAAGAAGTTCATTACTTTCTTTCTTTCTTCCTATTTTCTTGCTTTATGTCTGGTTGGTGATATTTTTTTGAAGATTTTGTTGCTGGTAGTTTCAATATGAGAGTAAACGTAGGATTTTGCTCCGCAAGCAAATTAAAGCAATAATTTTAATAACAGATATCAACATGTTGCATGCGAGTACTTGTTGGCTCATGGAGTTGCGTTTTCAAACTTCTAATCTTTCTTATGTGGTTCTGTTATTTTATCTAGTTGGAAATTGGAAAAAATTTTCTGCATCTTATGGCATGTTGTTTTAGTTTTCCGCAATGGGATTACCTAATCTTCCTCAGTCCGTAGTCCTTGATGGATGTGTTTCAAAAACTGATGACTGCAATTTGCTTCAAACAGACTGCTGTGATGGCATTAGGAGTGGAGGAGCTCCATTTGGTCGCGATGTATTCTAGAGATCATGAGAAGCAGTATCCATGTTTCTGGGGTTTCAATGTTACAAGGGGACTTTACAATTCTTGTCTTGTCATGTTGAATCTTAGATGTCTTGGCATTGTATTTGATCTTGATGAGACACTTGTGGTTGCTAATACAATGCGCTCATTTGAGGATAGAATTGAAGCCCTGCAGCGGAAAATAAGCAGTGAGGTAGATTCTCAGCGTGCAGCTGGCATGCTGGCAGAGGTTAAACGATATCAAGATGACAAGATCATTTTGAAGCAGTATGCTGAAAATGACCAGATTATTGAGAATGGAAAAGTGATTAAAAGTCAATCTGAGGTTGTTCCTCCATTGTCCGACAATCATCAACCAATTGTTCGACCAATTTTACGATTGCATGAAAAGAATATCATTTTGACTCGAATTAACCCCCAGGTAACTAGGTTTAACCCAGACTTTGCTTGCAATTATATCTGTTGATTATGCAAGTACCACCGTATGAGACTGTACACTTGTTTTTCAGGACTTCTCATATCATACATATCGCCCTTTTCTAGTATCCTTCTGTTTGATTTTTTCTTGTTTTTATCAATCTCAAATTTTCTATGGATTGTAGACTGTAATCCTTGAAGGTATCTCGGTACTGATGTCATTTTCCTGGGACAAAAATAGGTTGAGTTAAGTGGTGCATGAGCTGTTTATATGATATTGCAGTTTTTATGTTTGTTGAAGAATGCTATCATTTAGACTCATCTGTTGCACAATGGAAGTACAAAATAGTTTATGAAATCATGGAATGACAGTTCTATTAACTAATCTACTACTTAATTCCATAGATTCGTGACACAAGTGTTCTTGTCAAGTTGCGACCTGCATGGGAAGACCTTCGGAGCTACTTGACTGCAAGAGGTCGCAAGCGTTTTGAGGTCTATGTATGTACAATGGCTGAAAGGGATTATGCTTTGGAGATGTGGAGGCTTCTTGATCCAGATTCAAATTTGATAAATCCTAAGGAATTGTTGGATCGCATTGTTTGTGTCAAGTCTGGTTAGTAAGTTTAATCCAACTCCCAAGAAGAAAAAAATCCCTTCCCAAACCAGTACCACTTTTCATACACATCTTACCAAGAGACTTGTATTGCATGGCAGTTTGTTATTTTTATTGTTGCTTTTTTTTTTAATATTGTTTTTGGTCCATATCATTAGGTTCTAGGAAGTCGTTGTTCAACGTATTCCAAGATGGCTTTTGCCACCCCAAGATGGCTCTGGTAATTGACGATCGTTTAAAAGTGTGGGATGAAAAGGATCAACCTCGTGTGCATGTTGTTCCTGCATTTGCTCCTTACTATGCCCCTTATGCTGAAGTATATTCCTATCTGCAGTTTAGCATTTCAGTTTGAAATATTTCTTTAAGAATCACACAATAATATTTTATCCCTTTTATCTGATGTTGCTGTTTTTTCTTTTCTGTAGGGAAATAATGCTGTCCCTGTTTTATGTGTAGCAAGGAACGTTGCCTGCAATGTTAGAGGTGGTTTCTTCAAGTAAGATTCAGAAGACTGCAAAAGTTCCTTATACACATCCTGCTTATTCTTAATATTTTCTAATTAAGGTTTTAGCTCTGGAAGGTGGTCCAAGTTGATGCATGTTCTCATTATTCTTTTCTTAATCACGACCTTCCATTGATTTCAGGGAATTTGATGAGGTCCTTCTGCAAAAAATTTCTGATATTTCATATGAGGATGGTGCCAATGATATTCCCTCTCCTCCTGATGTGAGCAACTATCTCGTTTCAGAGGTTAGTCAGGATTTATTCTCAAATGATTTTCCCTAAAATAATGGTGGAATCTGCCAGTGTTTCTTGACTTGTTAAATGCTTCATTCTTTTCCCTTCGTTATGTTTCTCAGGATGAATATTCTATTTCTAACGGAAACAGAGATATGCTTACTTTTGATAGCATGTCAGACATGGAAGTTGAAAGAAGACTGAAGGTACTGAAAAAGACCGGTCATCGGTTGAGGTCATAAGTGAACATTCAGTAGCGTATAACAGGAAACTAATTAGGTCCAGGAAAGTGAATGATATATCTTGTACAACATATTTGTTAGGAGGAATGAGTTGGTGCTTAAATTTTCAAGTTGCCCTGATACATTCCAACAATATTTAGTCATTGTGTTTGCATAGTACTCCAATTTAAGATCTCTCTCTCTCTCTCTCTCTCTCTCTCTCTMTATATATATATATATATATATATATACACTCTATATATATATATATATTCTTTCTTTTTTTTATCATTGTATGGATATTGATAGATAGATAGCTAGATATGGATATAGATATACACCCACAAACGTACACACATATATGAAAAGGATTGCTCTTCCATCTTCCCACAGGATGCATTTTTGGCTTCTTCAACTATCACTACTACAGATCCACGAGTGTCTTCTCTTCAATATACAATGGCTTCTGCTTCTAGCTCAGTTCCACTTCCACCAAAGCAGGGGTCAATGCCATATTTTCCGAATATGCAGCCTCCCCATGTCAACTCAGTGGTCCATGTAGCCCCCACTGAACCAAGTTTGCAAAGTTCTCCTGCTAGAGAGGAGGGCGAGGTACCAGAATCAGAATTAGATCCTGATACGAGGCGGAGGCTCCTTATATTGCAACATGGGCAAGATACAAGAGAACGTCTACCAAGTGAACCTTCATTTCCAGTGAGGCCTCCTCCATTGCAGCAGGTTGCTGGTCCGCGTGCACAATCACGTGGAAGTTGGTCTCCAATGGAAGAAGAAATGAGCCCACGGCAATTAAGTCGGACTGCACGCAAAGAGTTCCCTGTAGATGCAGAACCGATGCGGGAGAAGCATAGGTCTAATCATCCTACGTATTTCCCCAAAATTGAGACTTCCATTCCACCAGATAGAATTCCTCACGAAAATCAAAGATTGTCGAAAGAGGTAATTAGATAATGATTCTGACTTATTTTCTTATGAAGATCTCCACTTTCGGCTCCTCCTTTTTTCAGGGGTGGCAAGAAAAGCTACTATATGATTTTTCAGGGCTCCTTTTCTTTTTCCTTCTCTTTATTTTATTTATTTATATATATGCAGGCTTTTTATAGAGATGATCGTGTGAGAGCAAGTCGTAGGTCATCTAGTTATCCTGCTTTCTCAGGTGAGTCATGTTTGACATGCTTGTGTGTCCATTTTCTAAATCTTGTAGCTTCTGCTAGTTTTTTTGTTTTTTTTTCCTTTTTATCTTCCTCCTTTTTTTCTTCTCGTGTTAAATGCTCAGGGATCTGATAATCTTTGTTTGTTTTTTTTTTTTTTTGCTATCATCTTGTTAATAATTATCGTGTTCATTAATATTTCTATTCATTGCGGTTATTCTACATTCTGTAATGCTTTTTTGCAGGTGAGGAGATTCCAATGAATCAATCATCTTCAAGAAGCCGGGATATTGAAATTGAATCTGGACGCTCCATTTGGAGTGAAACTCCTGTTGGAGCTCTACAGGAAATTGCAATGAAGTTTGGCACCAAGGTAATCCGATATAATCTTCCCATGATAGATTATTGTGGTTTTTAATTTATCCTTGCATTGCACCCTCCTCCATCGAGTCATTAACAATTGAAAAACTTACAGGTGGAATTTAAGCCGGCGTTAGTTTCCAGCACAGAACTACAGTTTTCCATGGAGGTAACTTATGACTTCTACCTTCATGTGTTTTTTAGTTTTTAAACTTTGATCAGAATGTAGATTTTTCTTTCTTTTTTTTTTTGGGAATATATTTTGGACAGTTCAATGCCATAAGTTATCTACACTGTTGGAGAGTTTTCTGCTGCTCTCTAGTAATTGTATCTTCATTTTAAACTTTGCCTTATTTAGGAGCAACTGGATTGCAACAAAATAATGTTTAACATTACTAAAAAATTCTTCCATTAGTGGAGTTCGTGAACCTTCGCCTTCGGTTCTGTCTGTGTGCTTGGAAGGAAAACTAGCAATTAGTTTCCACAAATTAGCTTATTGCTGCATAAAATAACGTCTTCAGCCTTTATGAAGGGTAGAAGTAAAAGTGTGATTGGTGAATATATATTGAGAAATAGAAGTGAGTAGAATAGGAACGAGAAATAGATTATGGAAAAGATAGGCCGAGACTGGAAAAGTAAAAGAGGAAGTGAATGTTTTCTGGTTTGGCAAGAAGTGGGAAGATGGGGAAAATTCTAGGATTTTTATTAGACTCAATTCTCACTTTTTAGTGTAAAATCAATAAATCATCAATTACTCGAACGGACCCATTTCATGTTAATTGCCTAACTGAGAAATTTAAGCATTTGATAAATATTTACGTTTCCTTATTTTTTATCTTTTTAGAATTGTTCCCAAAATTGTATTTGAATTTTTGAAAAAAAAAACAAGTTTCTTGTTTATTCTCATTCCTAACATAATTGAGTTTCGTTCTTTTTTCAATAAAACAAAAACAGAATTATATATATTTTTTATTATAAAAGAAAAAACAAGAAAGAAGAAACAAAAACGTTACCAAACGGGGCCTAAATAAAACTAGATTTGAGACAATGTCAAGTAAATCTCCAATAAAATACAGGATATGATCTCAAATTCCTATAAAAATCATGAAAAGTTATTATATGCTTGTCTCCATTTGTTCTGATTATAGAGTATGTACTTGTTGCTTACTTTTGTAGGCATGGTTTGTGGGAGAGAAAATTGGTGAAGGAATTGGTAGGACAAGAAGGGAAGCTCAGCGACTTGCTGCTGAAGGTTCTATAAAGAATTTGGCTAGTATGGTCTTCTTCCATTCTTTTTTTTTTTTTCCACACCATTATATGTTTAGAACATTTGTGTTTTCGTATACTGTTTATGTTATACCTGCTTTTTAGCTGTTTGCTGAAATCTAGCATGAAGATATTGTTTCTTCAAGATACCTGCTTTCATGTACGTTACAATTATTATATTATCTAGAATATCCTGTATATAATGATTTAAGAACATGACAATTGACTGCAAGTTTTATCTTAGATCAATAGGGAAAATTCATTGCCATTTTAATTTCTAGAAGGTTTTTTCTTAGAATTGTCTTCTGTATTAAGGCGTCTGGTGTATGAGTTTAAATTGCAAGCTTGAGTTTTGATGTGAAATGACTGGTCAAGTGTTTAAAACTATAAACATTTTTCTCTAATTTGAGAATGAATATGAAAATGAGCTCCTACGGTGAATCTGGCTGACATAATAACATGTAATGCAGACATTTATGTATCACGCTGTAAGGCTGACAATACATCTGCAAATGATGTAAACAAGTTTCCTAGTGGGAACGATAATGGACCTGGAAAACGACTGAAGCTGGACTATCCACGGACATCTTCCAAAAACTAAATATTCCACAAATGCTTGCTTCTGTTCCATGAATGGCCGCCATATTTGTTTGACCCTATTGAGCATGTTTCAACATATTCGAGGTTAAGGCCACCAAGACAGCAGTTTTGGCCTTCTGCTATCAAGAAGCAAATTGCAAGATAGATCATCTTATGCCTTCATTCATTTCTCCACGTGACATGACTGTATCCCGGTGAAGTTCATACCTAGGATCCAGTTGCGGCATCTCCATTAACCTGTATTTTTAATCTCGAGATACCGAGATGAGGGATGAATATCTGCCTGCTTTAGTTGAATTTTCCCTCCCATCAAGCTGAAGTCCTTACTGTTATTAGGTGGCAGAAGACTGAAGTTCATGCTCTGCTTTGGCGACTGGTTCACATGTTTGGGCGAACCATATATGTTGGCCGCTCAGATTTCATTTTTTATTTTATTTTATTTTATTTTTGATGTGTTAATATTTATTTGATTGAGCACAGTAAGAAAATTTGCTGGTGTTCAGGAATGTTTCCTTGTTCTGCAGACTCATATTCACAGTACCTAACCCCCCTCACTAAACTAACAACAGCTAAGGCACCCCCCATTGATGTTCCGAACTCGAGAATGATGTAGTTGATGGTAGAGTTGTATAGCCAGTTCTTCGAATGCAATTTCTCACTGGTTTTTATATAAGATAGATGGAATTGTGAATCCCCCATACCCCATTTTAGGATGGTTTGAACAAAACATGAATGTTGTCACTAGTAGCCTAGGTGCGCCTAGGCCTTATGGCCCACCTATTGTGCCTCGCCTTGAAAAGGCAAGGTGATCTGAATGAGGCGTGCGTCGTTAGAAAATTCGAAGCCTGGGCTTTTGTTTTTTGTTTTTTTAAAATAACGGGGTCTGTTTAATTAAATGGAAGGAATAGGATGATAACCGCCGCACGCCTTTTCCGATTTCCAATCTTAATTTGATTTTTTCTTTTTAAATGGAAAGAATCTCAACCGTATCGTCTTCTTCATTTCCTTCCCATGCACGTAAAAAACTCAACAGTCACTTAATCCTCTTCGTTTGTCTATTCTTTTCTCTATCCTCTTCGTTCTTTTCTCTATCTTTATTTCTAATTTTTTAATTCTCCAATCTATAACAGAAAGTGCATATCTTTCCCTCTGTTTCTATTCTAATCCAAAACAGCAAGCTCCGACATCAAAGTTATAGTATTCAATTTGTAAGCTCTTTATCTATCCCTTCTTTACTTTCTATTTCTCCAATCCAACACTATTTTCTTCAACACGGGGTGATGTTTCGAGAGCTGCTGGAGTAGAAGAACATGCCCATCATTTCAGAGCAAGTACGTCAAGGTCAAGAAATAGGACTATGGCTGGAGCTTCAAGTTCTTATGAATCCACACAGCCCACACCCATACAATCACACCCATACAATTGATTGATGATGAAGATTACATCGAGGAGGAAGATGCAGATGGCTACAAGTCTAATGATGGAGAGGATGAAAATGATGAAATTGAAGGACTATTTAGTGATGATGAGTTTGATCTTTAGATTTTTATTTTGAACTATCATACTTATAGTCTTATACTAGTTTAGGACCATTTTCATGTTTTTATAGACCATGATTCTTTATGCTAAGAGTAGACTTATGATGTTTTCTAATCTTACTTGACTTATATGTGTTTTATATGTGTGTATATATATATATATTTATTTTTATATATAGTGCGCCTCGCGAAAAAAGGCCCGCACTTTTTTTTGCGCTTCGCGCTTAAGCTCCAGAGATCTATTGGGCTTTAGTGCACCTCGAGCTTTTTAAAACATTGAGTAGAAAAACAGGTTTTAATGGCGGTCATTGCCCGTCATTGAAGGGATTTAATATCGGGCACGTGTCCGACATTAATTCGAGTGTTATTGTAGCTTTTCATGTCGGACAACTATCAATGACGGGCGACGCCCGATATTGTAGGTGACCGCTATTGTTTTCTATGATGACGGTCTTTTATGATGTCGGTCCGATATCTATGTTAGTGTTATTGTGGCATACAATGTTAGTCAACAAATTTGTCTGTCATTAAATGTTCGTCATTAAATGTCCGTCATCAAATGTTCGTCACTGAATGTCTGTTATTAAATGTTCGTCATTATATGTACGTCATGATATGTATGTTAGTGTTATTGTAGCATACAATGTTAGTCAACAAATTTGTCTGTCATTAAATGTTCGTCATTAAATGTCCGTCATCAAATGTTCGTCACTGAATGTCTGTTATTAAATGTTCGTCATTATATGTACGTCATGATATGTTCGTTTTCAATGGTGAAAAATACTGGTCATTGTTTGGGTAATAATTTAATAAAAAAAATTGTTGGTTGCTCACGTGCGCTAACCAACAACCTTTCCCTATTTCTCCACAAATCTCAATATTGGTCTTTAATATGCAAGTACTCACCCAAAACACGTGTGTCCTTTCTATACAAAAATCTTCTTATTTTTATACATAACTCAATAGAGAATAGAGATTTCATACTAATTAATCAAACATAACTCAAACAAAAGAATGTAAAAATTTCTTTCAGCATGACCTCTGCTAGAATATATTAAACCACACCTGAAGTATAAGATATATGTAATTAACCATAATAGTAACAAACAATCTTTCCTCCTAACTCATAATATGTACAGGACCTTCTCAACCTATGGAGAAATCACAATAGTTTTTTTTTTTTAAATGCAAGTACTTAATCTAAACATATGTACTTATAAACAACTTTCTCTTAGATAACTCAATACATAGACAATAAAGATTCAATTCTCATTCATCAAAACATAACTCAAACAATAAATGTCAAAATTTCAGCATGACCTCTACTATATATTATCCTAAAACTACAACTGAAATACGATAACATGTAATACATAACTAAACATAATAGGCAAATGACCATCAGCCTCTCAATAAACTACATTAAGCAACGTATCCAACACTTCTATACATGTAACAATAATTGAAATGGGACCACCTGTCCCTCCACAAACTACATTCAGCAACATTTCTACACATGTAATATAATGAGACCACCCGTCTCCAAAAAAAACTACATTTAACAACATTCAATATTTCTAAATGTAATGGGACCGCCCGTCCCTCCACACAAACTAAATTCAGCAACAACAATCCTAATATTTCAATTCTACTAACACAAAAAGTAATCCAACTAGTTTAACATCAAACAAACAAAATCCGTAAGCCCACTCAGTTCGAACCTCGTCAATTTCTTCTTGGCGATATATACTTTTTGTGTTAAACTACAAAGACGGAAAGATGATACTAGGATAAGAATCCATTTGATGTAAACACATAAAGATAGATAATTATACGTACAAGTTCACTGATGAAGGTGCTAGAATTTTGCACTATTTCTCGTAAATACTTCTACACATAGTAGCCGCACTCTACGGATTCTAATTGACGAGGACACTACATATATAAAAATGAATAAAACACAATTACGAGTTACATATAGAAGATTTATATGCAAATTTTATGATGTATAAAATATAGTGAAACACAAATTTACCTTTATAAGTTTCCACATTGTACTACCACGATGTCGAATAGAATGTTTGGCTTTCTACATTTTCATTGATCTAAGTAGTTTGAAACATTAGAACAACATAACTACAAAAATTGATTACAACACTATAAAAGTTGAAAACACTTACGTTAGCATGACTCCTCGAAAATCTGCTTGAACTTTACTTTGTAAAGAGTCCAAGATATACACACAATTCTCTCGTAAATGGATAACAATCAACATCCAATGACAACTATTTATAACCAACATCCTAATATTATCACTTATGAATAAAATAAATAATGCATAAGTAAAAACTATATAAATTGCTAACTTACTCAATGCGGTAAGGGATGAGTACTAGTTGTTCCAAGTTACCCATATCTAACCTGTCGGCTAGACTTTTTGAACGGGCTTCTTGAGACTTTATATCTGAAGTAATGGTTACTTGGTCAACTATCAAAAAAGTTTTTGTTGTCTCAGTCTCACATACATCCCAAAGTTACCTAGAAAGATAATTATAAAATATTAAAAACCATGGTTAAGGAAAATGAAGGTGTGTAATAGATTTTATATACTTACGCAATATAGGAGAGCACACACATATAACCTATTTCAACAATGTCGCAATAATGCATGATGTCATCACGTGGTTCATCTCCTTTCCAAGGATGTCAGTTGTTTATATTAATTTGAATCATCTCATTCCATTCCATTGACTTATTGGCATATTGGTTTAGGAGCTTAATAGTTGTGTTGATATCTGCATGCTTAGACCTTTTTGTAGTGTTAGAAGAAGAAACCTATAACAAACAATATTTCAAACTGAATTTACAAAAATATATATATACAAACAGTTCATTTAAAATGGTAAGAAGACGTACCTTTATCTCCTTAGTCACAACTACAAGTTTGCGAGGTCATGCCACAAAGCTACCAATTGTTTGATTTAATGTTTCAATCTCGCCCTTCACAGGAATGAGTATCGTAACATCTTCTCCCATGACAATATCTACCATTACTCTAACATTGTCAACCCCTAATGACATTCCTTGAATGATTGGACATTGAACATCATTCTCAAACATCGTGCCTACGGCAACAATATTATCCACTGATCCAATAGCTAGGTGACATGGCTTCCCCTGTAAAATTTTAAATTATAAAAGCTTATAACAGTCCCACCTTATGGCTAAATGCTGAAATTAAAACAAATTAATAATTATCTTTATTGATAGTCCATCTGAGACATTAATTTCTTCAACCTCCTTTCCTTTTTGGCCTTTTCTTTGCGACGTTACTCTCTTGAGCTATGGATTTAGTTGGTTGTTGTTCTGGAGTATTCATTTTAGGTTGGTCTCGAGGTTGTGGACCTAATTTTGACTTTCCTTGAACAACATTTTTTGATACATATGGTGAAACAAACTCACCCACTCCCTTTATACGCCTTCTATGTTCAGGTGTGTCCAATGCTTCCGTTAAAATGTCTTCTCCCTTGTGTAACTCAGTCAACTCATCCTGGTACAAACATTTATTATCACACCATCTAAATCTCATTGAAACATAAACCAAGTAAACTTACAATTCGAGCTGCACATTCTCTAGTAGCATCATCAAAGTACTCATTATTTTTTCATTTTCGTGCTTCTTTCCATAAAGTCACACGATAGGAAGGATCGCCTGATATAGGAATATATGTATAATAATTAGCATAAACACATTAACGATCATAAGACATTTAATTTAATTACTACAACTTACTAATTCATGGGAAAGATTTGCATATCCCTTACGGGAGATGTGATGATTATACGTGCATTTTGCCCTTCGTTCTTTCTGGACACTACTAAGCTCCTATGAAACATAAGACATTTAATTTAAATTACAAATACAATTCCAATCAATTTAAAAATATATTGGTATAATGTAGGTACCTCCCACTTTTTACTTAGTCTAGAATTAACGAATCAATTCCAATCTTCTTGATCATGTGAATATCTTTCAGGAGGAGCCTCCAATACAGATCGGTTGTCTTTGAATGGAAGTATGTATGTTTGAGTTAAGGTTGTCTTGAAACTTCGAAACTTCTTTGAGGCAGATTGAAGAATATTATGTTTCGACCTATAGTCCACCACGAATGACATCTGTAATGAAAATCACAAAATTGTTAGAAATCAAATAAAGTACAAAAGTTTTCTACCTTTGATTAAATTTCTATACTACTCATTATTACACAGTCAAAAATTTTATCTTTGAGTTCTCGAGGAACTTCTTTCCAATGGTTGTAAGTACTAGAATTTGTTGTCTAACACAAACGCCAATTAAGCTTTGCATTTTTTAGCATTTTCTCCGACTGGTTGACCCTTGTCATTATATTCAATTACCTTTCGTTCCCCTGCATTTCTTATGCACGCCAACTTAGACATAGTGGTTGGACCTCGTCGGGCAACTCTCATGATCCCAACATTCATAGCAACATTACCTTCCTCTTCACTATTGCTACTCGAATCATCCATTGAAAAGCTCTGGAATAAAAAAAAAACAAAACAAAACATACTATCATAAAATATATTAAATCAAAATATACATTATTTCATAAATATAGTAGATAAATTACATGCGACATGCCCATATTTAATATTTAAGTATTAATCCATGTACCATCACAATCATTCATAATATATGTATGATTGTTGGTCAGGAATTTCATCACTGTCATGAAATGTGTCAATATTGTTTCCTCATTGTTTTTTTGTCCGACATTATTTCCTCTGTATTTTTTTTTTGCTTTGTTCGTATGAGGATGATGATTTTCAGAATTGGTTCTTGCTGCTGTTCTAAATTTGTCTAACCAATCTATCATGACAACACAGTTTTTACTTTTTTATTACACTAGACGAAATATATAAAGCTAGGGGCGGGTTTTTATTTTTAGGCTTCAAGTGATCAGGAAGCCACGACAACGAGATCATAAAAATACAGTTTTCAAAGTAACATACCACAATAAATTTTCGTAACAACGTCAGAGAAGTGAAATGATACAATTTTATTAAGGAACACATGCATCGAATTTTGGTAATACTGGAGAAAAAAACTCAGGAAATCAAAATTTTGAATCAATAACATCACCTCAAGTAAAATTGTATTCCTCGCTTCACTAATTGTTTTCGAATTATCTCTCTAGACTGAGATTAAAGGCTAATAGCCAATGTTCATAACTGTTTACAGAATTTGAAGAGAATGCAAATTCATATACTTAGCCGAAATCTAAATGTCCGAGATCTTCTCATGTAGTCCAAAACAGAAATGTCTGAGATATTCGAAGTCGTCGGCGGAGTCGGTGTCGAAGTTGGCGGAGTCGGTGTCAGAGTCGTAGTTTGAAAAGGAATCTAAATCAATATATAAGAATCTAAATCAGCTAGACAGTAAAACCTTCTTTCTAAACTGATCCTTCTTCAAGATCTTCTCATGTAGTCCACACAGAAACGTCCGAAATATTGGAAGTCGGGGTCGGCGGAGTCGGTGTCGGAGTCGGAGTCTGGAAAGGAATCTAAATCAGCTAGGCAGTAAACCTTCCTTCTAAACTGATCCTTCTTCCATATCTTCTCGTACAATCCACATAGAAACGTCCGAAATATTCGAAATTGGAAATCGGAGTCTGAAAAGCAATCTAACATATAGTAATCTAAATCATCGAGCCAGTAAAATCCTCGTTCTAAAGTAAAAGGTGCATTCTTGCAAAGTTGATTCTCAAAAACATTCTCCCGATAATAATGTGGGATCATCTGGATCTCCATAGGGTGAAATATTTCGCAAAACTAACAAGAACTTTTAAAAAATAAATTAAGTAAATAAATACTACACTTGCTAAGGTGGTAGAACAACTAAATTCGTCGTTGACGAAATATCCTAAATATTATTCAGTGGGCGCGTCCAAAATAAATTTTCCACCTACAAACATTCGTAGATAATATAAAATTAGAAAATGACAAAATATTAATTAAGATGTGAATTAAGATAGAATTGAAACCTGATAACCTGTGAGGAGTTGCGTTGATATTGTCAAGATCTTGATATAGTTGGGTGGCATCCAAAGTTTTGCAAACCAGCTGCAGTGTTTTTTTATTTTTTTTTATTTTTTAATATATAAAATCAAAGACAATAATTGAAATTGAAACCATATCATTGATTCAAGTGTAGAGAAAAAGAAAAGTATTAAAATTATATAACAGTAGTTGTCTCCGTAAATAAAACCAAAATACAAACACTCCAAAAAGAAAAGCAATAATGATCCACAAGATATACGAATGTTTAGTTGTTTTCTCCACTTCAGTCCTGGCCCAATCAAATTTAAAATTTTGTGTTAATCAAAACCCAAATTCAACTTATCTTAATTTAATTAATCGAGCATAAATTAAAAACGAAAATAAAATTCAAATTAAATTATATAGAGACGAAATTTTCTTACTTATGGGCATGGGCAGGTGGTTGCAGTTGGAGGTATCTCATAAGCTGAAGTCCTTACTGTTGTAAGATGGTAGAAGACTGAACTTCATGCTCTGCTTTGGTCATTCGTTTATATTGGCCGCTCAGATTTCATTTTTTTATTTTATTTTTGATGTGTTAATTTATTTGATTGAACACACTAGGAAAACTATATATATATATATATAAACAGAAAAGTTTCTTATTTAAGTACAACGAGTGAGACGACGATGAGAGATAGATGTTAATTATCATCATAAATATATTTGGAGTAATCATAGACATCCTAATATTATAATTAATATATATTTTTAAGTAACAGTTTCACTCTAATCTCACTAAGAAATATAATTTTAAGAAAGAAATAAATTATTATAAATTTAGCTCCTATATTTTAGCTACCGTAGTCGTACTATACTTAGAAGTCTTAGACTATATATGTGTGTTACGGTGTGTAGTCAAATTTTTTCAATATCATTTCAATTTTAAGTTTTTTTTGTTGTTAGTCTTAATTTTAATTTCTTTAAAGAAAGAAGTATGAAAATTGGTTAAAATGTGTAAACCATATAAAAAGGGTCAAATTAGCTTCAAATAGAGTCATCACTGTGTGTTTTATTTACACACCCAACCCATAGAAAACTCACGATCTCTGCGGTCTTGAGGAGCCAGAGAGAGAGAGAGAGAGAGCGCGCGACCAAAAAATGTCCTCCTTCGACGCCTACAGCATGGACGGCGAAGACAGCTATGGCGGTTACGGATCCTACACCAATTTCGCCGGCGGATTCCCCGCCGACAGTGATGTCAGTGTCGAGCACGCTGCTGCCTCGCCGGACGTCTTCGGATTCGACGATCCGAGCCCTAACTACTCCCAGGCTCCGTTTGATCCAATTCATGTGGAGAATGGAAATGAAAACGGCTATGGAGTAGCCGAGGATGAAGTTGGCGACGGCGTTTTTGAATCGGATGGTCCAATTCTGCCGCCTCCCAGCGAGATGGGGATGGAGGAAGGATATGCTCTTCGCGAATGGCGTCGGTAAGGTCTTGAGATCCTCGATTTTTTTACATTTCTTGGAGCAGAAGTTTGTTTTTTATCTGTTGCCGGTGCTTTGTATCTTGGTGACGATTCAGATCTGATTCCTTGGTGAACAACTTCAGATCTCTACTAATTTCGTCTCCTTTTAGTGTTTTTACTTGATAACACTGATTCATCTCGACTATTCCCCCATCGGTCTCATAGTTCCACATAGAATGATTTGACGAGGGAAATTAAATTTATTGATTTGCATTAAGAGGTGGTGTGTGAAAGAACTTAGATCTAGGGACTATTGTATCTAAACCAGTACAGTTAGATGAAGAAGCTATCGCTTTACTGAGCTCTTATCGAGGTTTATATTAGCAGATCAGCCAGGGACATAGCTGTTAAGTCGAATTACTATAATTATTATCAGTGGGTCTATGTTGTTGTTGATCTATGTTGAAGTTTAAGCGGAATTTAGGTAAATCTTGGCGAGCTAACAGTGGATGATGCGGTATAGCTATCCATGACCCATATTATGGATTTTGTTGGATTGGTTTGCCTGTTTAGGATGAAACAATTACGTAAAAGCTTGAGTGAATCCTAAAACAGAAATTGCGTTGCATGAACTTGAAGTAGATCTTCAATTGAAAACTTTGAAACACTCTATTTCTTTCTCGCTGTTGTTAAATTTCTTTATTGGGTATTACAAAGTATCCATTTTGTTGAATCTTTTTCCCCCTTAGATCGCACAGAGTGAAATTTGTATTTGATACCAATTTGAGTTCCGAAGATGTATTTCTAGTGTACATCTATTGCCTTTCCGATTTTAACTTTAGAAATTACGGGTTCACTGGTGCAGCCAAAATGCCATTCAACTTGAGGAGAAGGAGAAAATGGAGAAAGAATTGAGAATCAAAATCATTGAAGAGGCTGAGGAGTATAAAATAGGTTTCTATGAGAAAAGAAAGCTCAATGTTGAGAGCAACAAAGTTAACAACAGAGAAAGAGAGAAGGTACAATTTAGTTTGCCATTTCTGGAGCAGTATTCTTTTTCTTCTCTAGCCCTGTTTTATTAGTATAGAGTTTTCGTTTTTGGAGCAGTTATACTTGGCAAATCAGGAGAAGTTTCATAAGGAGGCTGACAAACAATACTGGAAAGCAATTGCGGAACTAATTCCCAATGAAGTTCCTAATATTGAGAAAAAGAGAGGCAAGAAGGATCAAGAAAAGAAACCATCTATCATAGTTGTTCAGGGCCCAAAGCCTGGGAAACCGACCGATCTTTCAAGACTGCGGCAAATTCTCGTGAAATTGAAGCACACCCCCCCACCTCATATGAAACCACCCCCACCACCACCTGCCAAGGATGCCAAAGATGCAAAGGATGGAAAAGATGGTAAAGATGCCAAAAATGAAAAAGATGCAGCAACAAAAGCATCTGATCCTGCGCCTGGAGCTGCCACTGCCAATGGCACTTCTACCAAACCTCAAGAACCAACTGCTACTGCTCCTGCTGCTGAGGATTAGTTTGCTACATAATGACATAGCCATAGCCATTATCGACTTCATTTCGCTCAATACTTTTACTTTTTCTCTTTGAGGTTCCTTTGTTTTCGTTTCGTCTACCTTTCATTTGAATGTGTAATCAGTTGTGATCTTATACAACATTTATTCTTCTGTACCTTATGACGGTCTCTAGTGGCATTATCTTTTTGGACTTGTCGAGGTTCTGATTTTGTCATTGCCACCTTCTTCAAACATCTTTCATGAAATTATTTCTTCAGGTTAGCCTATTCATTTTCTCAACCCACCTTCCTCCACAGTAGACGTTTGCATCTGTAAACATGGGTTGGTTTCTTCGTGAACATTAGAATTTCTTTCATATTGTTGTGATTTTTGTGATCATTTCTTTTTGCTATGTAGTAAATTTCTTGTTCTCAAGGTCGAGTTTCGAATTATTTGAGTTACTCAGTTTTGGTTATATGACTTTTTTTATCTGGTTACAAAGCTTATGAAACCAGAAACTTAGGTATGGAAAATGGAACACTTTTCCAACAATGCATACTCTTGCCCTTGGAGAAGAAATTACAGATTTTGAAATGTGTAAGGTTTTTTAAATTTGAAGCTAGTAAGAAATTGCTTATCTGATTGAGATTTTTAATAGGAAAAAGAAAGCGTTGACTATTTACCATGTTCTTGTTACATGCTTTCTAATTTGATCTATTATTAGAAAAACTTATATATTTACTTAATAATAAAATAACACTAACATCAAATCTAGTTTAGTTTCAGGACAAGGCTAGTAACTTTAGTTTGTAGGACAAATAGAGTCTATCTAAGGTTGAGAAAGAGAAGTCCAAAACAAAGAAAATCCCTTTTAATTATGGTTTTAGGGAACTACAACGTTACATGAAAAAAGGGAAGTTTTTTTTTTATTTTTTTTAGTACAACATATGAGGGTGTGGATTCGAATTCATGACTTTTTGTCAGAGATATGTGTCTTAATCACTTTGAGATATGCTCGGTTTGGCAAAGGAAGTTTTTAATTAAAATAGGGATACATGTCATCTTCTGAATATTAATCATCATCCTTAATAATATCCCTAACCACAAAATAATTCGTCTCAAAATATTTGAATGGCTTGATCTTTATTTACTTATTCTATTGAAAACATTAACATTTAAGATGGAATGTCAAGAGTTTATGTAGAGAAAAGATCCAACTGAAATTTGGTGTGTTGCTGTCCATTTTACTCGCATAAAGAAAGCACCTAAAGTTTTTGTTGGAAAATATTTTTGGATCACTATAAGATTTTTTAAAAAATATTTTTAATTATATATTGTTGATGGAAAAATAATTTTAATTATGTATTGATGTTTTTTTTTTTAATTTTCGGCTCTTGGAGTATTTTGGACCACCGTGGATAGGCAGCGTGCCACTTCCGTCTTCTCTCTCTCTTAACCTCTTTTCCGATTTTCCGTCTTCTCTCTGTGTGCTGAATCCACTGCACAACACAAAATAACCCAAGTCCGACCGCAGCTTCCTAATCCCTCTCAGTATAGCCGGAACACGCCGGTTGGAAGCGGTGGCGACCGCCGTAGCTGCCGTGTAACAGGGGATTCGCTTCCAATTCTTCCTCCCCAAATGAATTTCATACTTTCTAATAGACCCATTTGTTGTTCCTGTCTTCAATTACCAGCTCCCAATCATCTCTTTCACTCTTCTCCATTTTCCCGGGCGAACCCAAATCTCCCAATCTGTTCTCAGAGGAGATGGCTTCTCAGAACATCCAGATTTTGCTCCGTTGGAGATTTCAATCTCACGAGCTCCGCCGGATACGGCGGCTGGGACGACGATGGACTTGTAAGTGATTCGGATCATTTCCGTAATTTTTTGGTTTCCGTTGGCATCGATCATAAGAGACATTTGTTCACATTTCTCTTTGGGTTTTTATGTGCTCTGGCCATTTCCAGAGTTAAAGTCTCTTCCATCGCTGTTTTTCCTGCTTCTGTTTTCATTTTTGCTATTGGATTTTCTATTGGGTTTGTTCGTGGTGGAAGTTTAGATGAGCTGAACTTGCTTGGAAATAAGAACCGGGAGAAATTAGAGGAAACTTCTGGGTTTTACGCTGAGAATTTAAGAAATTTGGTGGAGTTCTTTGATGGATTTGCAGTCAAAGTGGATAATTTGAAATGTAGTATACGGAATGCTATTGATTCTAGGGAAATTACACTTCGTGACTTGGAAAGTTACATCAAGGTTTTAGAATCCAACGATTTATCAACCTCCAATGCTAGAAAGGTTGTTGAGGCCTTGGTTAATAGTGGAAGCAACTCTAAAGCTGTGATTGTTGAGAATCATAAACCAAGTAGAAAAATTAAAGACTTAGGAGATGTGGGGTTTGAGCTTTTGCAATCCTTTGGCAGTTTGCTTGGAGAAAAGTTGGTTGGTTCAAAGCCTAGTAAAGTGAGGAACAATGTTAAGCCACAGATGCCACTCAATTCCATCAGCAATCAGACTAAAAGGAGTTCGACACCGTCTGAAGTCAGTTCTGGTTCTATGGATTCTGCTACTGGTTTTAATCCACCTACGAATTTTGATGCTTTTGAGGAATCAAGGAAAAAGCATGCTATGGAGATGGATTATTTTGCAAGGATTAATGTTACTCGAGAGAAGGATAGAATAAATTCAAAGGGAATCCATGGAAGCTCTGAAAGATTCACTGATGGTGAAGAATATGGCTACCAGAATAATAGATTGCAGAACTGGGACAATTACATCAATATTTCTAACACAGGTCTTAACAACAAACTAGAGAATTCACGATTTAAGGATAGTTTGCTTGATCCCCCCATGGACACAAGTTTTAAAAGAAAACATATGGAGACTAGAACTTCCTTTGTTGAAGAGCGTGGATATGAGGGGGAAAATGGAGCTTTTAGGTCTTCTCACATGTCAAAGAGCGAAAGTGAAATTTATAGATCTCAGTTTAGAGAGGAGGGAGCAAGTAAAAAGAGAAGTTCTCATTTGACTGATGATCAACCATGTGGAGAAGAGAATGAGTTTGCTTCGTCATCATCTTCGATGATTTATGATGATGCAATGTTCAATAAATATCTTATGGAAGCTAATGATCTTCTGAAACAAGCAAAGGATTTGATGAAATATAGACGAGATGAAGAGCACGTGGAGGTCATATTATGTCAGTCTGCTAGTTTGTTGTCAAAAGCCACAACTATGAAGCCGATGAGTTTGTTGGCAGTTGGCCAGTTGGGAAATACTTATCTTCTTCATGGAGAATTGAAGTTAAGAATTAGTCGCGAGTTAAGAAAACTTTTGGGTGGAAAAGAGCCCATATCAATTGGGAAATGGATCGATATGGTGGAGGAACTAGATGATTCGATTACTGGAAGAGATAAATTAACATCTATTCTAATTAGTGTGTGTGAAGAGTGTGAAGAACTTCTTGTGATGGCAGGTAGAAAGTATAGAATGGCATTATCAATTGACCGGAATGATGTGCGAGCGCTATATAACTGGGGTCTTGCCCTCTCCTTTCGCGCACAGTTGATCGCAGATGTTGGACCTGTGAGTACTACTGTCCTGCACATAGCTAACCTGTATTTTGTAGAGGAACTTGTGATTGTAATAATCGATAAGAAGGCTGTTCTTAGCAAGCTTTTCTATGTTTCTCACTATTTAAAAGGTTCTCTGTGATATCAAATTTCAGGAAGCAGCTTTTGATGCTGACAAGGTTTTCTTGGCTGCCATTGATAAATTTGATGCAATGATGTCAAGAGGCAATATTTATGCACCCGATGGTATGTTTCTGGACTTGCTGCTCAAATAAAGTTTTCACAGAAGTACACAGTTACTTAAGAATGAGATTCATAAACTATTTTGCCCATTATAGAAGCATTGAGAACATATTTTGCCTGCAATTTTCAACTGGTTGTGCATAATGCAAAGTAGACCTTCTATTGCATTAGCTGAAGTATTTAAAATTGAACTTTGCTGATGTTCTTCAGTATACAGTTAGTTACAATGGAGTGTGGTTATTATGGAGATTATATAGACGAGGGGGTCGGTTTGTTGGACTGGCCATTGGTATTGGCTAGTTCTTGGTCCATTACACTGTATTTTTCCATTCGGTTCTGTCATTCTTTCTGGATCCTATATGCTGAACAATTTTGAGTTCATTCTACATTGCAGCTTTGTTCAGATGGGCAATGACATTGCAGCAACGATCTCGGCTAAGGCCGTCCAATAGCAAAGAGAAGACTAAGTTGCTGCTGCAGGCAAGACGGTTGTACGAGGATTCACTTGACATGGACTCCAACAATCTTCAAGTAAGAGAAGCCTTAATGTCCTGCATATCTGAGCTCCAGTTCGAGCAGTACTAAAAATTTTGAGAGAAGGATCTAGCTGTTTTTTTTAATGCTATTGAATCTTTCATAACACCTCTGATCTTTGCTTTGCTACCCATCTGAAAAAGAAAATCCCAATAGAAAACAGTAATAATAACGAATGCCACTACTTGAAATGCTGCGGAGGCATTACCAATTCGGAAAAGCTCTTGAGATATTTTGCTGCTGGAAGCGAATTTACATCAGGCCCCAAATAAAGTGAGCAAAACAACTGAACTGAGTTAAAAACACAGACCCCATGTAGATGGCGCTGTTATTGTTTCAGCTCAAGATTAGGCAAACTCTTGTCGGGCGTCCAACTTGTTTTTAACACATTGATTTCAAACGATCGCGAAAAGCCTTCAACATCAACATGGATGCAAACGTGACTATGCCAACAAAACCTTCAACATATATATATGGGACACGACGTGAAATCGCCTGAAGATAGCACACAGCAGCCTCGACTCCTTCCCCGACTATAATCAGAATCATCATCCGAGGAAGATGAGTAAAATGAAGAACGTGATGACATTGCTGATTCTTCTTTTTTTTTTTTGTTCATGTAATGTTGTAGCTCCCTGTTCGTTCAAGAGACCCTAATTAAGAGGGACCCTGTTTGTTTTGAAATTTGGACTTGCTCTTTTTCATTCCTAGATAGACTCTATTTTTCCTATAAACTGAAGTTACCAGCCTTGTCCAAATAAATTGAGATTATATGATCAAAGTGTAGAAATTCAATATTAGTTTTCGGTTTCATAAGCTCTGTACAATGGAAAAAAAAAAAAAGTCATTTAAATAAAGTGAGCAACTCAAATAATTCGATACTCAAGGAGAAGGGATTTACTATTACAACAACCACGCAGCAACGATATGAAAGAACTTGTCAATCCGAACATAGCTCAAGTGGTTAAGACAGAAGGGATTGGTTCATCAATCATCATCTATAATCATATCACCAACCATCAAATAATGTCTCAAAAACCTACAACCCTTAACAACTCCAACTATAAATTAAAAAAATATATTCATCAAATAAATCAACTCAAAAACCTACAACCCTTAACAACTNTCCAACTATAAATTAAAAAAATATATTCATCAAATAAATCAACTCAAAAACCTACAACCCTTAACAACTCCAACTATAAATTAAAAAAATATATTTATCAAATAAATCAACTCGTAAACAACCAACTCAATTTTATCTTTGTTGACTAAGTCTATTGAAAACATTAATATTCAAGATGGAATGTCAGAGTTTTATGTTTGTTTTTTTTTTTTTTTGTGGAAACTTGTAGAATTTCAGAGTTAAATATATCCATGTTGAGTAACAATCTGATATTTATATATTATTTCACAAGATAGAAAAAGTAAATATTAAATTATCCTCTTATGTAAAATGATAAGACATTTTTTCATTTCATCGATCGAAACTTACAGACAACTCGAAAGTGTATTGCCAGATATATATACACAAACCGAAATTAAGGAAAAAAACCAGAAATTAGAAAATTAAAATTAAGAAAAAAAAAAGAAGTCAGAAATCAAAATATGTTTCAGGCGGCATGTGATCCCCAGGTTGCCCAGTTGGCCTCACTTCCAACACGTGGCATGCTGTGAACCCTCGATTGGACATCAACCTTAAAGTTAGCCCCACACATCACCCCCTCGCTGTCGATTCTAGGCATTGCCTTCATCTTCTTCGTCGGATGCTCAAAACTCATAAGGCCTCTCTCACTGTGGAACATACAACCTGCCAACTCACAATCATAATATTAGATCTCTATCCATACATGAGTTCGACACCGACATCACGAATAAAATTCAGATTCTGTTTATTATTTTCAAATTTATTGAATCAAATGAATTCAATGAATACTGAAATTCTTTAAAAATTATTTTCAAATTCTGTCATCCAAATTCTAAAAACACCGGCATAAATTTAAAATTTTAAAATGCAGACCTTTCTATGATATTGCAAAAAATATCAATAAAATATTCAAGCATAATATTTAATAAATTACCAGGTGGAAATGGGGCAAATGACTTGGCACACCCAGCTTTAATGACCTCCAAGTTGTCGGAAATTACAAGAGAGCCATCGGCCGCACTGCCCCAATAGAGATTCACCCCTTCATTCGCATCCTATTTGAACCGAAATTCAGAATCAGAAGAAGATTTGAGAAACCCAATTACATTTCATTTTCAGGCGGAACGAAAAAAGAAAAGAAACCCAGAATTCAGCTCACCAGAGCTGCAAATACAGAGCCGGATTTGGCGTCGAAAAGCACAAACCCGAAGCTGCCTTCCAGATCCTTCAGGACCTGATCCGCCGGGTACGGGCCGCGGTCTCGGAGGGTCCGATAAGCCTCGATCACGAACATGGCTTCGTTTGTGGCTTTTGAAAGCCCGTACTGCTTGTTCAAGCGGCTCAAGTTGTTTAAACTCCCCATGAATATGCAGTACATTTCATCCAGCCCGCAAAATAACCTGCACTCGAAAATTTTCACCCAGTTAGAATTTGTTTTAGAAATGGTAAAAAAAAAAAGATTTCAAAAATTGGTTCAGATCGGGAATTGTTTACGTTTGTTGGGGAGTGGATCGGGATGCCGACGGATCGAATGCGAGCGACGCTGCATTTCCGAAGGAAACAGAGAGAGCTCCGGAGGAAGTGAAATGGTGGAGAATCTCGCGAGGAAGCTTCGGGTTCGAAGTCGGGAGCCGAAACGACGCCGGACTGTGGAGCTCCGACGGCGGCTGCACCGATTGCCTGTCGAAAATGGCCAACATCTTCAATCTGAGAGAAACGAAACGAACGATTTGGAATTGGGAATTTGGAGAACTGATGGAGGAGAAGAGTGATTTCAAGGAAATATTTAAAGAGGGGGTGTTTGGTGTTGAGAATAAGGTAGCCGACGTGGCGTCGTTATCCAAACTCGGATTATTCGGGCTTTAATTAATGGGGATTGGGCAGTACGGTCACGGGTCAAATATATCAAGCTCGTCGATTTAAAACATTATCCATTTTTTAAAAATGAAATATATATATTATATATATTATATTTCACTCTCGTAACTTGTTTCCAACATATATAAATGAAAACTTACACTAAAAGGATTGGCAGCTGTTCCAGTCCAGCCAATCAAGTAGACAAGTGCGTATCAATCTAGGAATAAAATCACTGAAAATGGAATAAAATTTTACAAAAATAGTACCGTTAAATCAAACTTCAACTTAAACAGATAATTTGTTTAGAATACCTATTAAATTTATGTATCGCACTAAAATTTCTCTCCATGTATACATCTTGGGATAGAAAATCGAATTCATAATCTTTTGATTTTAAATATATGTCAATTACTATTAAATTATGTTTGTTTTGACGAATTAGAAATTATGGTACACTTTAAATTTTATTATTTGAACTAAGACTATATTACTATAAATATATTATTAAATTTGCCTTTTAATTTAAAGAATGGAATCAAATTCTAATTGCATGTGTAACAATCGTGACTACTTGTTCAAAGTAACCGATTAAGAAGGGAAATGAGTAATACTGCTATGTAAAATAAATGGTATTTGGTTCCCTATTTTGTCATAGTTGTGGGTTTGTTGAATCTAGGTTTGTTAAGTTTTTGATTGATATTAGGTGTAGGTTTATTAGGTATGTATTTTGTATTTTGTTAAACTAACTTTATTAAAATTGTGTTCGGTTGGTCGAGTTTTAATTTTCTTTTTAAAAAATATAATTTATAAACTAATTATTTAATTAAAATAATTAAAATCACATTTAAATTATCTTGCAAAAGTCATTTTTTTTATGAAAAAGATATATAAAATATTTTAATATGTTTTTCCATCCAATTTTTATTTCTAATGATTAATTCTTAAAATATAAACTATTCAATTATCTATGAAAATATTTTTCCTAGTATTTACAAAGTTTAAACAAGAGTACATAAATTTATTCAACGTAAATTTAGAAAATGTTATCAACAATTTATTTAATTTTTCACTATTTACTATCTTAAGTAAATTTGATTATTTAATTATTATAAAAAATTGATTATTACTTCATTATCATCCACCTTACCTATTAAATTTCAAGTATTTATCTGACAATTAAATTTTATTAAAAAGTGAAAACCTTTTTAAATAATATTTGTTTAAAACCTATTAACATGAGTTGAAAAAAAGATATAAAATTAAAATAAATAATTATACAAATTATAGTGTCTTTTACAAATGTGATAGTGGTAATAAAAAGTAAATAAAAATGGTAGAAACAAGATGAACAATTATATAAAATGAAAAAAAAAAACCACACAACTAGAAATAGATACCAATAACAAAAAAATTAGATTTCTTTTGGATCATTTGAAACAAAATAGAGAAAAGTTTGTCGATATATGAATGAATTATTTATTACATGTAATTTTAATTAAATTGATTTACTTATTTATAATTAATTAATTTCTTCATTTATTTAATATTTTTAATTAAAAATTAATACATCTTGGAACAGAGAATAAAGATATAGAGTGTAATAACTTAAAGTAGGAATAAATTATTATAATAAATCTGTGGTGAAAAGCATTTACTGTATCAAACTTAGATTTATGAAACTGTGAAGCAATCCTAACAAATCCCATCAGATAAATTTTGGGTAAAAAAAAAAAGGGAAAGTGGAATTATAAATTGCGTTTTGAAAATAGGAAACGCATAATGATGTGGCACGTGTCAGAGTTATCCAAAGTGGAGGTTTGGAATATGGAGAGTGGAGAGAGGATTTATTGCGTGGACTTGGAGAATTTTAATGGTTAAAAACAACGTGGATTGACGTCGATCCTACTCAGCATATCTTCACATTTCAGTCCTGTGGGACCCACAACCCCTTCCTGCACTTTTCATTACCTCAATAAATATGTTATAAAACTTTTTTTTTTTTTTGCAAAAGGTAAATATAATTTTTAGATAGATTATAGAACTAGATATAGTTTTTTAACGCTTTATTTATTAAAATTATTTCATAATTTGAACCAACGAAATACATTGTGAATTATATTTGATTTTTTCTTAAAGTAAAATTTCAACAATGGGACCCGTCCTAACTAATACATTAAAATGGTATTGGAAGATCCAATAATTAAATGTTTTCTTTTTCTCTCCTATGAAAATTTCAAAATTTTCTAAAATTAATAGTCATTTCTAATAGTATGACCTACCAGCAAAGAATCATCACTTCCAGTAAACATGACAAAAAAAAAATTATAGATAACTAATACTATAACTTTAATGGAAGGTTAATTTTGTTGGTTTGAATTATAAAAATTTAATGTTTCGTTAGTTAACATGGACATAACTCAGCGATGATTGATCTATATTTTTCCTCGAAGTCGGAAGTTCAATCTCTTATATCTTCAAATTGTTGTACAAATTCCTATCCTTCATTTTAGTATAATTAAGGATGGAAAATGATATATGAACTTCTAAAAAAAATTATAATAATTAAATTTGACATTGATTTTTTTCCTTGAAATAAGATCAAAACTAAGGAGCTTTTTATAGTAGTTGGAATACATCTCGATACTTTTCAATGATGGACAACTTCTACTAATTGATAAACACACTCTCTCTTTGTATCTTTCCGATGTGGGATAAACTTCAATTCTAATATTTTGTCGAAATCCAACAACCATACCATGGACGTTCAATCATACAACTAAATTTTAATTTCTCAAATTTGCAGAGAGGTCAGCTGTCTTACCTCATGCTATCATCCCTACTCCCATAACATTTAAATCTTCCATTCCGTAGCATTTTTCTTGTAGTGAATAAAAATCAATTTTATCTGTATTTCAGAATTTCAAGTATTCGAACAATATCCTTGTTTTATCTGTATTGCAGCAGCATTAAAAAAAAAAAAAGAAATTAGCAGTTCATAAACCTCCCTCCCTAAACACAATTATAATTTTCTCCCACTTCTTTCTTATCGTGGCTCCTCGTTCTTACACCGGTAGGTGGCCTCCGATGAATAATTCAAATTATGTAACTTAATACTGGTTCAGTTCACATAAATCAGACCACTTAAAATTAATTGACAATTTGTAATCTCATAATTAAGATGTGAAATATTTGTTACATAACTATATATGAAATATCTCTATATAGTAACCGTGGTAATATTGATGTGAATATGATGATTTTAACTTCTACTTGAACTAAAATTATTTTCCAACAAAATAAATTAATAACTAAATTTTATAATTGATATTCGCATAACCTATTATTTAATTACAATAAATAAATTGCTTCAAAAGAATTAAATTTATTAGCATAAGAGGAGTAAAAATGAGGAGTGGAAGACCTTTGTCTGACAGAGAAAAAATCACGAGAGAGAATTATCTCAATATTGATATTCTATAAAAGCTTCACTCGCTCCTCTTCGAGGTGTGTTTTGGTCGGTGCAGTGCATGGGATCTCAATCTTTACACAGATGGGCTTCAAATGCAGCCCATTATGAAATTTCAAAATGCAACATGTTCCAAGGGAGAAAATGACATTTTTTCTCTCTTTCTTTTTCTCACTCCAACCAATGAAGGTGGAAATTAAAAGTTCTAATCTGGGTTGTCTTTTCAGCTATGTTCAAGTTGATGGGAGAAAAATGACTGTAACTCTTGTATCTTCATGTTTGATTAAGTCCGTGAAGGTCGATTGGCACTATACAAAGTAACTCTCCAAACAAGGTGTGTGAATGCAAGTAGGAGACCTACAAAACAAATTAAGTACTTCAATGCTCAAGTAATACTCAAGTAATAGTTGGCTGATCTATCTACTCGAGAAGTATAGTTTTCTGTACCTAAAAAATGAGGCGGGAGGTCTCTATTTATAGACTTAACTTCTAATAGGACCTCCAACAGGCATCCAATGGCTCTCCTACAGTTTGAGATCAATCACGACTTGTTGTCGTGGATTCTATTTGAGGTTGGCGTCTACTGAAGTTAGCATGGATCGGCTAATATCTCAGATGGCCCAGGTACGAGGTTATACTTGTCTCACTATTTGGGTACTTAAATTTGATAGATAAGATGGAGGAAATATAAGACAAAAGAAACATATAGTATTGGAGATGATTTTTCACCAGCCACATGTCTGATAAGTACTGAGTCAGCATGGTGACTCACATACCTCTAAATTTGTCTTTCGATAAAAAAAAAATTATATATAAAAGGTTAAGATTTTAAGGTTTTTCTCTCTAATGTGTGTCACACATATATTTTGGGAAAGTTATTAGATATGAAAGGTTGGAACATGAAACTTCTCCGCCTCAGTTATGTGTGTCTACCCCATTAATTAACATTGATTAAATTTGACTATAATTACTTAAATTTGTAAGCTCCACATATATGTGAATGTTCGGCATGCTATTTAAGTAGGGTGGGACAATGACAATTTAATTAAATTTGTTTTTAGTACAATTTAATTAAATATTTGCATCGTCAAAACTATTGGTAATTGACATATACCTTCAATCAGAGATTGTGAATCCGAATCTCCTCTCAAACGTATTATTATTGAGTTATGTCCGCTTTGGCTACAGTCATGGACTTTCATAAACTATAAAGCACCGCTTTCCAAATTTTTGAAAAAACATAATTTTGAAAGAACGTAAAAAAAAAAAAAAAAAGTGCTGTCGTGGCTTTTGTGGACAATGTCTGATGGGCGAAAATATCAGCAAATTAACAAATTGCTCGGTCAATTTCATTTTTTCTTTTCAGCGTGGTTGAATCTTTTGTTTTCATTTTTCATGGACTAGAATAGTCTCCATCTCCATCTCTAAATATCTCAATTAAAATTATATGGGCTAAAAATCCCACTTTAAATATTTTGAAATTTCTTGAGACAGTTGTATAACTAGCATAAAATTGATATGTATTTCAAATATAGAAAGAAAAAAAGTTTGAAATTTTACTAAACTAACGTGATACAAATCAAACTTAAAACTCTTTTAAAAAATTAAATTAAAACTAAAAAAAATTAAATTCAAACTTAAATTGAGAAACTCATATCTATAAACAAACAATAAAAATGGTAACATTTTAAAATTACATATTAAATCTTTGTTAGGGAGTAAAATTGTTCATTATAATTAAATTAATTTCTTTTTTTTTGTTATTTTTAAATGTTTAACACTATGTAAATATGTCTATTTTTATTTTTTTATTATTATTTATTTTGAAATTTTCTTCTATTAAAATGTAAGTTATTAGGTATTTCAAAATAATTCCACTAAAAGAATATCGATTAAAATATAATAAATCTTGGAATTAAAATATCACAAATGGGTAGAGAAATGAATTTTTTTAAGGGGAAAAAAATCACTTTCAAAATGCGGAGACTCTCTTTTCTATTTGAGGTGGGTCCTACAAAGCCTGTAAAAATTGACACCTCTAGCTGTTTCGTTTGCTTGAATGGCTGTGGTCTTTTAAGTAATAAATTCCCCGATTTGATGTTAAACTTTTGATAAAATTTACGTTTAGTCTCAATTTTAAAATATTTTTAATTAAGTTTTTCACCATACAATTTGATTTTAAATGTTTTTTTTCCCTGTGAGAGAGTTGCATTCCCACACGAAATGTATGGTCAATTTTAAATTTATCTCACATACTTCATAAAAAAAAAATTCCAAACTCATTTGTCCTTACTTTAGTAGTCTAACATACTATTATTATTATTATTATTATTGGGTAGAAAAATAGCTTTACTACGGGGACAATGGAAGAAGGTTAGAAGACAAAGGTCTTACTTGAGAGCCACCTCGAGAGTGAACAATCTTCCGTACTTAGCCGCAAATATTGTAGCGATTCTCTCCGGTAGGGAAAGTATGACTCAAGTTCAACCATAGGCACACGATAAATCTTACCTTCAAACGATACTAATAACTGCCTGTCGAGTGGTCGATTGGATCTCTAACCTATAAATAGAGGGTTTCAATTCTGTATCAAATATCACATTCTATGTCGAACTCCATATTAAAGTTGAACTTAAATTGATTTGAGTGTTAGAATGTTTGCTCTATTGTGTAGGTCTTTTTTTGTCAGAGATGCTCAAGCTCTCCCAATTGTCATTTCTTGACCAAATTTGACCTCAATCAATTTTGTTACACAAACGCTTATCGTTATCATTTATTAATTCAATCAAAATTTCACATAAATCTTTTAAGTAACAATGTTGATAACATAAACTTATTAAAACAAAAATTAAATATTTAGGAATGAAAATTAAAATTTTGTTAAATTGAAAGATTAAATGAAGTGATACTATGCTTACCATGTAAGTAGTAAATAATTTAGCTAAGAATTTAGAACAAATTACACTTAGTCTTAAGGTATAAACTTAGTTTATATTTGGCTTTTAAGGTTTTAAATCATCACTTTTAATTATTTAGATTGATATCTCAAGTTTCAAAGTGAGATTTTTTGTTCATAGAGTTTAATTTTATTTTGTCCCTGAAGTTTCAAAAAATATTTTTAATGATTAAGATTTAGATTCGATTTAATGGAGCCTATTCGTCGAGTTAATTTAATAGAAAAATGGTTAAGATTTATATTCGATTTAAAGCAGCCCATCGGCTAAGTCATCTAACTACTCAATTGGATTGAGAACGATAACAAACCCAACGACAATGACATGGAGTTAATAACCTAGGTAAACATCAACTCAATTCAAGAACTTAGCGGAAACTAATCTTAAAATTCGGAGGCAAAAATTTTAGAAACCAAATAAAAAGTCGTGGAAACCGACTAAAAATGTAATTTCTCCAATATTTTAATACATTCTCTTGAAACCGCGTGGCCTCTAAGTTCATAATGCAAAAGCCACATCTTCTTAGTTCTTCTTCCTAATAAAAATAGAAATAATTTTTTTTTTCCCTCTGCGAAGGAAAATAGAAATAATCACTAAGTTTTAACAACCACCACCTCACGAAATCAAATCTCCCTCCTCTCTAGAAGTGTCTTCAACCGCAGCTTCTCCTCCATATTCTCTGTTCCTCGATCATTTCTTCTCTTTGTGCATGGCAGTGAGGTTGTTGGCTCACGAGGTCGCTGACATATGCCTTGGAAAGCCTGCGCTAAGGCCAATCTCCGTCTCGGCCTCACTCGCCGACGCCCTCTCTGCGCTCAAACGGCACGGTGACTGCTACATCACCGTCTGGAGCTGCGGCGACCATTCCTCCAAATCCGGCTCCGGCGATTGCCGATGTGTCGCCAAGATTTGCATGGCTGACGTTATCTTATTCCTCTGTAGAGAAGAGAACTTCTCGCAACCTGCTGTCGCGCTTCAATCTCCGATTTCGGCTCTGATTTCTCAACTTCCGGTCATCGTTAGGCATTTGGAGCCTTATGCTAGGTGCGTAATTTTCTTTCGTTTATGCCTTTTTTGAGGAGTTTACTTCTGCTCTCTGCCTCGTCTGAATTAGGATTTAGTTCTTCCGTTTTGAATTTTTTATTTCTGAACTTTGTGGTTTGTTTACCGATTCACATTTGACTTTATCCTGTGAAATTCGTAATCTGCTTGGTTTCTCTAGGGTAGGATCGAATATTGTTATGAATTTTGAGTAATAGAGACCTAGAGTCTTATATATAGAATTCACGTTAGAGCTTGAAACTCAATCTCAGAACTAGAAAGCGAATCTTTATCTTATTTGCCCCGTTTATGACAGAAAGACACAACGATCCGCGTTCGTTGAATTTTTATCTAAATTCACTGTTTCCCGACTTTCAATTATCGGGTTGGTTGGTTTCTGCATGATTTTTCACTCCAGAAATTGCCCTGCCGCTAACCTTTCGGTATTTCTCCACTTGTATTGGAAAATTTCGGGACCGTTTTGCTTTGATACACAATCGTCTCCTGTAATTTGCATCAAATCGTCTTACATAGAAAACTGAATTTGTCTACTGAATTTTTATAGTTTGATGTCTTTTCAGTTACCAAATATATATTGCTCTTTAATAATTAATAATTTTCTCCCATGGTTTTCAGCCTGATCGAAGCCATAGATCTCCTCCTGGAAGGTGCGCAAAATCTCGTAGTCCCGATTCAAGCTAGAACCTCTGCAAATTCCAGAAATAAAGTTGTTCAGGAAGTTCCCCCCTACGACTGCCCGCTTCACAACAACCTGGAATACTGCTGGCTCGCCCAAGAGGATGTAATCCGTTACCTCCTCGACTCTATTGGGCTTTTCAGCCCCACCTCCATCACTCCCATTAATTCCCTCGACGCCATCGACACAGCCAACATCCTTGCTGTGCACTATGACGATCCAGCACTTTCTGCCTTGCCCCTCCTTTCTCAAGCCATCATCCACCAATCTTCCATTGCAATCGTTGACTCTGATGCGAAGTTGATCGGAGAAATCTCACCGCTCGCACTAAATTGTTGCGATGAAACGGTAACAGCTGCCATAGTGACACTCTCAGCAGGTGAGCTAATGGCATATGTGGACTGTGGTGACCCGCCGGAGGATCTGGTGCAGCTGGTCAAAGACAGATTGGAGGAGAGAAACTTAGGGGCACTGTTGGAGTGGGTAGAAGAAGAATCAGCAATGTCATCATGTTCTTCATTTTACTCATCTTCATCATTTCACTCATCTTCCTCAGACGATGACTCTAGCCTGGGAAGGAGTGGGAAGGTGGCAGCGAATTCAGCAAGGCAAGTGAGGAGCTCAGAGGCTCCGGTGTGCTATCCCCGGAGTTCGTTGGTTGCAGTGATGATTCAGGCACTTTCGCATCGGGTGCCATATATATGGGTGATCAAAGAAGACGGAAGCTTGGTTGGCATCATCACGTATGCATCCATGTTGAAGGTTTTTCGCGATCAATTGAAATCAATGTGTTAAAAACACGTTGGACGCCCAACAAGAGTTTGCCTAATCTTGAACAATAACAACAACAACGACAACGACACGTTTACATGGATCTGTGTTATGAACTCAATTATGGTATTTTGCTCACTGTATTTGGAGCATAATGTAAATTCGTTTCCAGCAGCAAAATTTCTCTTTCTACAAGTCCGATGTTTGTAATTTGTAGCCAGCTTCCTAACGAAACAAACTTCGTATCATAAGAATCTATTTTTACAACTTAAATTTGCACAAATTGATTGTGTACTGTCTGCAGATCTTGTTAGATTCTAGAGTAGAATAAAAAAAGAACTTGGCTCGAGAGAAACCAACACATAAGAAAGTAATAAAGAGCTTCTCCGAATTGGTATTGCCTCCGCAGCATTGCAAGTAGAACAGAGGTTATCACACATTCAATAGCATAAAAGAAAAACAGCTATATCCTTCTCTCAAATTTTCTAGTACTGCTCGAACTGGAGCTCAGATATGCAGGACATTAAAGCTTCTCTTACTTGAAGATTGTCGGAGTCCATGTTAAGTTAATCCTCGTATGGTCGTTTTGCCTGCAGCAGCAACTTCATCTTCTCTTTGCTATTATTCGGCCTAGGCCGAGATCTTTGCTGCAATGTGATCAGTGCCCATCTAAACAAAGCTGGGATGTAGAATGAACTTAAAATTGTTCAGCACATAGGACCCAGAAAGAATGACAGAACTGAATGGAAAATTACAGTGTAATGGACCAGAATGGTTACGACATGTGAGTCAAAACCTTTGGGGGCTATGAATTTTCCCTCTAGATTTCTAATCTCTATAATAACCACACCCTATTATAACTAACTGGATACTTAAGAACATCGGTAAAGTTCAATTTGCAATGCTTCAGCTAATGCAACAGAAGAAGGTCTACTTCGCATTTTGCACAACCAGTTGCAAATTGTAGGCAAAATATTTTGTTTAATAAAATTACTTCATACCAACTCACAAAAGAAAAATGGCTTCAAATTTGTTTAACTTTTCTAAATTTTCTTGAAGGCAAGTTTTGTGAATCTCATTTTAAGTAAGTGAAAAATTTATTTGAACAGCAAGTCCAGAGACGTCCATCCGGTGCATAAATATTGCCTCCTTGACATCATAAATCATCGAAGATGATGACGAAGCAACCTCGTTAATTCTCTTCTCTACAAGTTGATCATCTTCCCTTTTTACTTGCTTCCTCCTCTCTAAATTCAGATCTATAAGTTTCACTTTCGCTATTTTGACATTTAAAAATAATAGAAGAAATTTTAAAATATACTAACTAAAATAATATTTGAACGTAAAATGTAATATATTTCAGTTATGACTATCTTTTCTCCCTTTTATTAGCTGTGCAGTGCATTCGCTTTTTCCACATTTTTTTAAGAAAGAAAATCCAACAGGTCAATTTACGACGTAACAAACTTTCTATTTTTTTTTTCTTGAAAAGTAGAAATTAGAGGAGACCTTAATATTTATCGGAAAAAGGATAAAATCAAAATTAAAAAAAATGAAAATTACGAGAAATGGGAGGGGCGTAATGGTAATTCTTGAGAGGGATGTAAGGTAACGGTCGGGAGTGCGTGGAGGGGAAAAGGGCGATAGTGGAGTGGCAGACACAAATATCCCATAAAACCGGTTGGACAAATGGATAAGGCCGTAGCCACCAAAACGCTGCGTTTCGCTAATCTCTCCCTTTATTTTAATTAATATTATCTGTATCCCCTAATTAATATTTAAAATATTTTATTTCTTCCGACGGAGCGTCCATCTTCCACGTGTCCCTCCCACTCTCTGGCTTGGCCTTCAAGAGGCACAGCACCGAAGCAACGCGAAGGTCAAGTCCTAAACACACTCTCGGAGAGAGAAGACGGAACTCGCACGCTGCCTACCCACCTCTACACACAGAGAGGGTTTTTTTTTTCTCTTTTTGGCGAGACGAAATTAGGGTTTTTTTTCTGGCTTTTTTTGGAG